TAATTGTTTGGCACGCTCTGCAGCCTAAACGGCTTGATGGATTTTAGCTTGAGAGGTGTCGTTAGATTCGTATTTACTGTAAGAGTGACACTGGATATATCAAAATAAAACAAATACGCACAAACGCAGTCGGGCTTTTTAGTTGTTTAAATTATATTCTACTTGTTTAATATTAATGCCATGTTCACCACGCTAATATGTTATTATATTAGCATGGCACTTACACGCTCAGCGACACTAATCGTATCGCGCTAATCCTGACATTAACCTAGTTAATGTATTAAATCTTAACGTGTACTCCCATATGGATCGTTTTTATGGTATCATGAAAAGGTTGGCTTTAAAAGTTCCTCGTTTATTTTTATTATAAATAAAATGATATGCATAAGATTTAAATAATACGTTTTCAGTATCTTTATATCTTCTATCTATTATTTAAATACATTTAATCAATAAAAATACATTACATGAATTAACTATTTATAATGAACTAGCTGACCCGGCAAAGTTGTCTTGCCGTATAAATTATTTCTAAAATTATTTGTAGGGTAGAAAAAATATTTGGGGTGGACCACCCTTAAAATTTAGGGGGATGAAAAATAGATGCTGCCCGAATCTCCACCCTGGCTGATATGCACACAAAATTTCACGAAAATCGGTTGAGCCGTTTCGGAGAAGTTCAATTACAAACACCGTGACACGAGAATTATATATATTAGATTACACTAGGCAAAATTCGATCACTAGTTTTGATAAATTCGACTGTAGACTTCAGCAATTGTGCACGGTTTAAAGATACTTACAGAGGTAATCGATCCTTATACAATGTTGTAAGTATGACGCCCTACGCCCTAACACCGACACAAAGAAGATAAATTTACGTTTTCGTTTCGTTTGTTCGCAATCCCATATCACCACCCTCGAGTCACGCGACGGGCTTAAGTTGATTTGTGGGCAAACATACAAAAAACCTACGAATTACGGCCCACGTCCAGTTCCGCCCGATGCAAGTGTCACCGTCGGTTAATTAGATAAAGAGGGGTGGCCAGGGGCTCTATATAAGGGCGCTAAGATCGGGCGAAGCGCAGGAGTGGCTTTCCGCCAGCCTGGGGCTCCTTACCTGTAAGTACGATACTTATTTTCTATTCTCTTTTAAACATTTTTTAAAACTTAAAACTTTTAAACATTAATCTATTTATCATCGCACATATCATTCCGGTTTGTGCTGTTGATTATTTTTCAATATTACTATCGAAAATCAAAAGAAAAGTGATAGTGTTAGAAAATGTTAAATTATTTCTTTTTAGTAATCAATTGTGTATTTAGACAATTGTTCATTATTTAAAGCATGTTATGATGCTTTTACCATAGGGTGTATATTGGTACGTGCAGTTTTGAGTGCCAGCTGAATTTCACAGCATCAAAATTCAATAAACATTTTTCATAAGTTCAAAAATTTACCATTAAAAGTTATAATCTAATAAATTTAAGAACAAATTTTGGTTTCTGTTCCTCGTGTTTCCTATCTTCATCGTTATAGCGGCAACAGAAATACGTCATCTGTGAAAATTTCAACTGTCTAACAATTACGGTTCATGAGATACAGCCTGGTGACAGAAGGATAGACAGACAGACAGAGAGCAGTCTTAGTAATAAGGTCCCGTTTTACCCTTTGGGTACGGAACCCTAAAAACGTAACAGATGGTTATTCCTTACAAAACTAACAAGTTATTTGATGATAATTTCATATGATCATCATCATCATTTCAGCCTGTTTTAATCAACTGCCACAACAATCATAGGTCTCTTCCACAGACTGTCACGAAGTAAGATCCTGAGCCACCTGCATTTATAGATTTCGCACACATTTGCATAGGTTGTCACTCTATTTGGTGGGGGGTTGTCCCACACATAATCCATGTAGGCACAATATTTTTATGTCAATGATTGCAGTGCCTTGTATTTATTTATATATTTTGGTATATCACATTGTCTGGTTTCTGGGCTATGTTTGTTCCATAACTTTTCAGCCAATAAGTTTTTTTGATTATTGTTTGAAAGAGGAAGAGAAAATTCCATTGGAAAAATATCTTGTGATCCGAAATTTTCTTACAATGTATATCTGTTGTTACTGATTATTGGCATTTATTCTATATCTTGAAAATATCTCACAGATTTTGCAACTGAAAACGCTTAATTACAGCTAAACTCGTGAGAGAATTTATCGTGACATTACGAAGAATAATACCTCTGTATCGAATATATCGTGAAAAGTTTTCGAAAGGCAAAGGGTTTTAGAAGATGTTTTTAGAGATTAATTTGATAATACTCTATGCAGTTCAATCTCACTTAATATCACATAGAAATGTCCTTAATCGTTTTAAATGTATTCAGCTACAATTGAAACGATTCCAACTTTAATCCGTAGAAAGTTTATATCAGTGCTATGCAATGTGATATGTACACGTGTTCTATGTTATTTATTTAAAGAAATAAACTTGTTGTATGGTCTATTAATATCACTTAAATAATTTTTCAAAGCCTAAGTTATTGTGGTTTTTGTACGTTCGAGAGATAAATGCAGATAAGAGCCCAGTTTCCAAAAAAGGTTGCCATCGCATCTGCAAACCCTCGGGTGTAGCAGATGTCTATGGGCGGCGGTCTTCACTTAACATCAGGTGAACCGTCGTGATCGTTTGGCAACTTTTCACATAAAAAAAAAAAAAAAAAGATAATAACTTTAAGTTTTGACGAGAGCATGTATCGTCAGGAGAGTGAAAAAATTTATACAGTTTTTCGGATTTATTATGTATTAACAGATCACACCACCTTATTGTTATTTTTTAGTCAAGTGAGATGCATTTAGTAAGATGCAAATAAAGATGATTATGATTATTATGATTATTATGATTATGACGATAAATAATAAAATATGGCCTTGGTTTATAATAGACGGTTTGTTTTGAGCTAACATGCGTGGAACCACTGGAAGTTCAGATGAAGAACTTTGGCGGATGACGCAGATAAGTCAATTACCGCAATTCGATTACTGGTCCACGGTTGTTGAACTCGTCACTTGGTATCTGGGTGAGGGACGCGTGGGTAGTGGCGGGACGGATTATCGTTAGACACGCTTCTATGGTTTCGCGTAACCTGTACAATTTAAAGTTTATGGAGTCGGAGAAAAAATCTCTCAAGTAACATTTATAAGACTTAGAGCTAAAACATTCCCAACTATATTGGATTCTAAACGTCTTAGGGTGTGATCACTAGACATAGCATTATTCATTAGCTCGTTAGCATTCGATTATCAAGAAGTTAAAAGCCAGGAAGAGATATCTTTGTGTATTTACTTATCACCGAGCTGAAAGAAGTCAAAGGTGTCAGTAATCTGACTTTACATATCGTGCACAATGTGGGACAAAGGCACTAGAAATCCGCGAAACGGAAAACTTGTTAATTTTGATTCCAATAAAGTTCTATTGTAGGTTTAATTCCCAACCATGACGTAAATTAATCTTAGATTATGAATTTAAATTATGAATAGATTATGCATTTAAACTTAAATGACCATCAAGTGTTCTCCACAGTTATTTATTGTTCGTAAGCACTTGTCTTTACGCCACGAAGTAGCCTTTAAGCGAATTTAAAAGTATTCTCAGGATTATCGTAATCATTATCATAGCCTATCATTTAGCCTAGAAATTGTGTACGGTACAATAACACAAATCTTTTTTTTAAGTTTCCTATCGAGAAGTCTTACTCCATTATTTTTCTATTAGTAACAGATAACATAATAAAAGAACTTAGAAAGAAACCATTAAATACTAAAGAAGTTTCTTAACCTCGTTTGATTGTAATGCGCCGGCCACGATGCATTAAGCGGATCAAGCTTCTTACTTAATAATGCTCTTACTTAATAGATACTCCATGTATTCATGCATTCATTCCATGTATTCATTCTAGCTATGTGTTTATAAAATAAATTAGTTTCTTATTCTTAAAAAGATTATTCTTCTTTTCATGAAATCAGCAACTCAGCAACCAAGAACCACTGAATACAGCGCCTAACATATTCTTCGCAACACATCCTCGATACTTTTAGGTTTCAAAATCAATGGTAAGTCCCATTAATTTATTACAATATTGCATACAATTGGATCTAATATCGTAAAGCAAGAAAATATTTAAAAAAGTTTTTTTAGATTTCTGTTGAAATAAAGTTAAGAAGAGTATTATAACACGAAGTATTTATATTGAATTTCGTTTTGCTGTGCTACTTTGTCAATTCTCGTGTTTTGTGGAATGTTATCCTGAAACAAAGAGTCAATTCATATTTATAACAGTTCATTACTAGTTAAATAGAATATCTTACCATTATTTAAATATATTATAATATTTTAGTTATTTTTGAGGTATTTAAAAGTATTTTGTGCGGCTTAAGTAGTTCTTAACCAATAAATAATTTGAAACAAATTCAGGATGCACAAAAAAAAAGCAAATTATGCAATTTTCATATAAATTTGATTTTACAATATCCGCTACACAAATGCATATGTTAAAAACTTATGAAAGTTTCAATTTTCTCCTAATACAACTGTTCTGTAAGGAAGTTCATTAGAAGTTATAGACAGACTTCTTGTATCTTGTATTAACTGATGTTTTTGCTTTCAGTCCCGGGACTATTAAAGCTTCATCTGACGCAGAACCGGTGGGCTAGCCAGAACCCACGGGTTTGGGCCCTCCGCTGTGGGTAGGGCCGTTCATTGCGAAGGTACGTCATCTAAGGGCCACAGACCGAAACCCCGATGGCCGTCGACTGTGCTCCCCGATGGCCGTCGACTGTGCAATATAAACAGACTGATATTATATCAGAATTTAAGGTTATTTATTATGCTTTGTTTTTCAGATTAAGGCATACGTGTTTAATGCAAACCATTGCCAGCATATCATCTTATATTGATAACGGTACCTAGGCAAAATATTATAACTCCACAGCTATGGCAGAAAAACAGGATTTGGAAGGGGTGAGTCCATTCTAAAACTTATTATCTGGAATCGTATGTCGAGCTTTATGTGTACGCAATGAAAACCGTTGATAAAATATTGTTTGTTCATTATCATACAATTAATTTAATCGTAAAGGAAATTTGTTTTTTAATTGACAGGGTGATCAAAAGTATTCAACAGCTTTGCTATCATCATACAATATATTGAATCATATAGGGGATTTTGTTTTGTTTCGCAGGGCGACCCAGACTCGGAACGTGGAAGGCCTCCAATGGAGCTACCCGTCCTACCAAAGTCTCTCACATTGGAAGAAAAGAAGTACCTTCTCGCAGTAGAACGTGGAGACATGGCGAACGTCAGAAGGTAGAGAACTTTGTAAAATCATTAAAGTAAGGAAGCAGTCAAGCTACTGGACAATATATACGCTATATGTCAAAAATTGTAGAGATTTAAAAAAAAGAACGTTAATTGATAGGAAATACGACAGTTTGAAATTAAATGCGGATAAGTCCACTTAATATAACTAACTGGAGGAGGTTATCATCATGAAAGATTATTTAAACCAATATTCATACTTTGCAAAATAGTTCCAAGACAATTTTACAGGAGTGTTATTATTTACTTTTTATTTCGAAGTTCTAACGGCGACGACAAAAAAGCCACAGATAAGCGTGGTTTAGTTCAGTTAGTTAATATTTATCGAGTATTTATCTAGGACTCCAAAGAGTTATTTTATTGATCTTTGTGAATTTGTCTTAAAACATAGAATTACTTATTCTTCATCCAGGATACTCCAAAAGGCCCATCGTAGGAGTCACGTTGACATGAACTGCGTAGACGCTTTGGGTCGTGGGGCACTCACTCTTGCGATAGACGCTGAGAACCTGGAGATGGTTGAGCTCCTTGTCGTGATGGGGGTAGAAACGAAAGATGCCCTATTGCAGGCCATCAACGCAGAGTTCGTGGAGGCAGTCGAACTGCTATTGGAGCATGAAGAGTTGATCCATAAAGCTGGGGAGCCATACGTAAATATAAAATGATTCCTGTATTTATTAACAAAATCACGGTTTTGGGTTTTGTGAGTTAATGAATTTTAAGTAATGTGTCAGTTCTAACGATATTATATTACGTACGTATAACGGTACTCCCTTTTATATGATGGGGGAATATATAGGCTGTTTCTTTACTTTACTTTTTTGTTCCCTTTTAAGTAAATAGAAATCTGTAGTAAAGTTCTCTTTCCGTTGCCTTCATATAAAGTCCCGTCATTTACTTGGTTTCTGAGAGAGTATTATTTTTTTCTAGATTGATTTTGTTGCGAGAAGTTCATTATTTAAAAATGTTGTGAATGATTATACAAAATATAAAAAATATGCTGAAGGCATTGCTTCAGACATCCATATTCAATTTCTTATGCATTTTTAGAGTTGGCAGAGGGTAGATCCAAATACGGCGATGTTCACTAGGGACATCACTCCCCTGATCCTGGCCGCACACAAGAATAATTACGAGATCATTAAACTGCTGCTCGATCGTGGAGCTACCTTGCCGGACCCTCATGACATCAGGTACGATGTCATAAGTTCTGCAATCCGGATCAGTTTTTTTTAATACGTTTAAATGTCATCAACGTTTGCTATGTCGTTTTTGGAAATCGAATTAAATGGCCTGATTTAATTCGAATTTATTACGTTTCGTTAAATTAAATATAAACAAAGTAAACATTATTGGTTCATATTTTAGTAAGTAGTTATCTTAAAATGGCAAATGGATGATATAATGAATATTATATTACCCATTTGATAATATAATTGCCTATGTATATTTTTTGCTTATCTAGTGTCTATGTGTTTGCTTGTCTATGTGTTTAATATATATTTTGGACAGTATTTATATTCCTAATGCGTGAGACTACTGTCATAAACAATACCGACGAAATAATTATCAATAAAACAAAAACATAAATAACATAACATATCTAGTTAGGATAACTAAAGGATTATTTAATAGAAATTTAAATTGTTTATAGTGCTAATCTTTGAACTTAAGATTGAACATTAAAATATGTAGAAAAAGTGCGACAAGATTGTCGCCGCTGTGGGAATCGAACCCACGTCTTCGGCATTCGCGGCCTGACGCCCTAGCCACTGAGCTAAACGGCTGATTGCCACACCGACGAAAATCTTAACGCATTCTTCTACATTGTTTTCTTAGCATTTGAAGCAATGCTTGGCGCCATCTATTGTTATATCCTTTCCAGCATACAAACAATTTCGAATATCGTTTTACAACGATAATTCGAACGAGAGATGTCGCCATTGCTTTTTTAGAAATTTAAATTGTTTATAGTGCTAATCTTTGCACTTAAGATTGAACATTAAAATATGTAGATTAATGAATGATTAGTAAAATTTTAAGGATTATTTAATTTTACAAATCAACAGTCCCAGTTATCTTTTAATCTAACGTATATTTCCATAAGGTGCGGTTGCGAACAGTGCATCCGGGATTCAACCGACGACTCCCTGCGGCATTCCTTGGCGAGGCTAAATGAATACAGGGCGCTGGCATCTCCGTCTCTTATAGCCCTCTCCTCTACTGACCCTATTCTCACTGCATTTGAGCTTTCATGGGAGCTCAGAAACTTGGCTTATGCTGAACAGGTATATTTTATTGCCTTAATAGAATCAAGTTTGGGCGCCCTACAATACACACATTTTACACTCGAAAATAGATTGCCAACTTTTAGGCAAATGACATGTTCAAACACAAATCATCATTTCGTTTAAACTAAGAAACCAAAATTAAGTCACTGAATTTACATTAGTTTCAAATCCATCCTGTTTTAAGAGCATTCTCTTTTATTCGTTAGGAAAGTAAATCGGAATATCTAGAGTTACGTAGGCAAACGCAGAAGTTTGCCGTGGACCTTCTGGACCAATCGCGAAGTTCACAGGAGTTGGCTATCATACTCAACTATGATCCCGAGGAGCCACCGTTCATTGAGGGAGAGCATATGAAGTTGTCAAGACTTGAGTTGGCAATCAACTTTAAGCAAAAGAAAGTGAGTAAAAGAAATTTCGATACCGTTCGATATGCTTAACAATGCTTAAATTATAAGATGCAAATACGTACGTGAGAAGAAGAGGCTGTTAGTTATTATATAATTTATGATAATATGAAGCATTAAAGTCAAATTTCTAAATCTTTTTGTACAACGATGGTTAATAGCTACAGGATAAAAGGAGACAGGAAAACTCATTGGCGTGGGTTTATCCGTTGATTTTTTTCTCCCTTCCATCGCCGTAATATCATTTAGTTAGATTAACATTAAATATGATATGAAGAGATCAAAATGTTCGTCTCCTTGACCATGTTGTAAATCGATTCGAAATTCCTATTAAAAAAAAGCAGTTGAAAATATCAGTTCATTCTTTTTACACTTGATGGAATTAAAATTAAAAGAAAAGTAAAAAGTAAAGTAACAGCCATACGTGTCCCACTGCTGGGCAAAGGCCTCCTCTATACAGAGGGTATCAGGTCCCCACTGCGGATTGACGGACTTCATATATTTTCGAAATACATTTTTTTGTTATTATTTCGAAAATATGCAGGTTTCCTCACGATGTTTTCCTTCACCGCGGAGCACGTGATAAATCAGCACTGAAGTTAAAAACTTCATTGATGCCGGCACCGGGGATCGAACTCAGGTTGCTCGAGTATATATTGAATTAAAGGCGAGCGCCCGGACAATGAGCTATCACGGCTCTATTAAAATAAAAAAAATATAATTTGCTTTTATTTCACCAGTTCGTAGCCCACCCAAACATACAGCAGTTGCTGGCCTCTATCTGGTACGATGGCGTACCAGGGTTCCGTCGCAAGTCGGCCATCGAGAAGGTCATGATTATATTTCGTGTCGCCTTCCTCTTTCCGTTCTACTGTTCGTTATACATGGTCGCGCCCAATTGCGAAATCGGCAAGCTGATGAGAAAGCCTTTCATGAAGTTCCTGATTCACGCATCCAGCTATCTGTTTTTCCTTTGTAAGTAATTTCATCTTCTTTTTATGTTAGAGGTTGGCAAGCGAGCAAGTGATTCACCTGACTTAAGTGATAACACCTGATAATAAATTATTTGCTTCAACAGACGTGACCCAAAAGTATAATACGAGTACTTCTACTTCGTGCCTATTTTCTGTAAGGCCGTCGTACTTCTCAAAACGCGCGTGTCTATTGGTGCATCAGCGGTATCTTTTTTCGTGGCCCTATTAAAGCATTTTATTCAAGTAAAACCTATATTTTTAAGAGTTATATTAATATGTTTTCCCTTCAAGTCCTATATTTATTAGTCTACTTTGCGGATTCAGTCTTGCAGCATATTGCAACATGCTCGCAACAAACTACCCCTCGAAAATATTTTCATTTAAACTTTGAAGGAAATGTTTTTTTTCATTGTTTTTTATTTTTTTTTGTAAGAAGACCCTATGGTCGTTTCCATCTTGCAGTGATTCTAATTTTGGTGTCGCAACGGGCAGAAGTTCAGTTAATACAAATGTTCGGTACGGAGCAAATGATTAAAGACCTAGAGAAAGAAGCGTTGAAACAGCGAGGAAATGGGCCGACTTGTTTAGAGATCATGGTCTTAATATACGTGTTAGGTAAGACTTTATTAAAATAAAATTGGCGTTTTTATGTTCGAGTCCAAATGAAAAAAACTTATCGTTTTATTTTATTCGTATGATAAACTTCTTATTGGAATATTGTAACTCTTACCTCTAACATAAATTTTTCATCATAATGATATTCGGATAGTACTCGTACACAATTTTTTTTTAAATTGCTTAAAACATATAGCATTTTTATTTTTTAAATTACCAACAATTCGGGCACAATCTGGCACCTTTTGGTACGCTATAGGTTAATTGATCTCTTTCAGAATTTCACTATTTCTATGAGGTAGGACAGTATAAGATTTTTACGATTTCGCAGGATTCCTTTGGGAGGAGACGCAGGAAATGTACGTAGAGGGCTTTCGCTCATACCTCCGGAACATGTGGAACTTCATCGACTTCACCCGCAACTCCCTATATGTGGCCGTGGCACTACTTCGCGTGGTCGCCTATGTGCAACAGTCAGCGGAGATTGAAAAGGACCCCCAAACGAAATACATCCCGAGGGAGCAGTGGGACGCATTCGACCCGCAACTCGTAGCCGAGGGGCTCTTTGCTGCAGCTAACATATTCAGGTAAGGGCAGCAAACACTCAATCAAAATCTTAAGGTAGCTTTTGATTGCGCGAACGCTGAAACTTGAAACAAAAAATAAAAACTGATATTACAAGGTTTACGTTAAACTGTGCGTCCATCTAGTATTGTAAGACATCTTCATCTTTAATTCAGTCATCTTTAATTTCAATTCTTATACCAATCCAATTTTCAATGTAAAACAATTGTGCCAGTTCTTAGGTTTTAATTCTCCAATGGTTGTCTTAGGCCTCTCAGTAAATTTGCTTATATTAACTTGAAACTCTTAATGATAGTCTACCTCCATTATAACTCCTTTTGTGTAACCTCTATTGATAAGGGCCATTTTTGATTTGCAGTGCCTTGAAACTAGTGCACCTGTTCTCCATCAACCCTCACTTGGGGCCTCTGCAGATCTCTCTAGGGCGAATGGTTATCGACATAGTCAAGTTCTTCTTTATTTACAGCTTGGTTCTTTTTGCTTTTGCTTGTGGTAAGTACCGAAAAGTCTCTATTTTATTTATTGTAATTGGTATATTTTAATTATACTGCCCGCGATAAACTAATTAAGCAGGCAAGTTTAATATATGAAAGTCCCATGTGACAAAATTATGCTTTATATTTAAGCATTAGTTGGAGCATAATGCAACTGTTGTTGTAATTTTTTCATTGTAGACAATTTTAATTTTGGATCATTGCGTGTAAAACTAGGTCTGAACCAATTGCTTTGGTACTTCGCTGATTTGGAGAAACGCAAGTGTTACGTTTTGCCTGGTGGCCAGCCAGACTGGGATAACGCCGGGGATTCCTGTATGAAATGGCGGAGTTTCGGAACGTGAGTCAATCTTATTGCTATTCATTCGCTTGTGATTTATTCTTATATCAGATTATTGAAACATTTCTCTTGAAGTCATATGTTAAGAAAACTTATTCAACGTACTCTAGTAAAATCAATACGCAATTAATAATCGTTAATTTCGTTAGTTTGCAAAGTTCAATCTGTGACAGTGTCTTTATGACTTTGCTAGCGTTCCACTTAATGAAAAAAGTAATGCTATTTTGAAGGCATGTTTTGAACCAACTGCTTTTATAAAACATAAATAATATTAATGTTTAATCATTAGTAAACTTGAAATAGTAACTACAAATAGTAAACTTTTTTCTACTTGAATACATGTGTGAGTATATCGATTGACACTGTTGCTAAGATGATCACTATGGCAATAAACAAACGGCTTTATCAATATTTGACAGCGTGAGTTTCTGTGACTATAAGCTCGCCAGTGGGTTTTATATAAATTTTAGCGTTCTATTTATATATTTACAATGAGCAACACACAGTTCGGGGTTAGGCACATTATAGGCGCTCCGGTAGCTACCACGCGCTTATCCGAGCAGGCTCTAGTTTGTGTGCCACCGAGGTCGGCAAAATTTACATTAGCAGAATGGAAAATGAGCAACTCGCAGCGATGCAGGAACACGGAGGACCAGCAGCAACTCGCAGATAGAGTGCTCGGTGAATCCGAGAGAATCCGCGAGGAGACAGGCGAGCGCGCTGCTATATTGAAGGCGACTAGCGACAGGCGAATAGAAGAGCGCATCGGTGACGTTGAGTTCAATAAGAAGGAGCTGCAGATTCAGAGGAAGGAGATATGCCTGGAACTGGAGGCGCTAGGCGTGTACAAGACGAGGCTGCAGGACTGCCTTGCGTCGCTACAAACAAACGCTTTGGCGATCTGCCGAAAGTGTCTGATATTGAGGGACGGACGGATCGGTATCGATCTGGTGGTGGACAACGTGGAGCATGCCCTTCAGCAAGAGATAACAACCATCCTCGGAGCTCAGACGCTACTCAAACGCAATTTGGAACAGCTGAATGAACAGATGCGGCGCTTGAGATCCACCCGCTATCTCCTAGATCGTGATCTTCAATATAAACAAGCTGCTATAGATTTGGATAAAGGCTCGTTGTCCCTCAAGCCTACAGACTTATGCCTGTCCGTATACGAAGGATATGCCAACTTGGACCCGGCTAACATATCGGCCGAAGAATACAACGCCTACTCAGCTAAGAACATTCAGTCAGCTGCTAGAGAAGTCACCAGTGCACGGCCGATCCGAGTTTTTATCGACACCCTACTGAGTCAGGTCATTGATGACTTATGGGCTGCGTACCATAAATGCAACCACGAGTTCAGCGAGCGCATTAAAGAGACCAAAGGCGCGAAACAGCAACTAGAGGATATGCACCGAGAGACAACCCAGAAGATATCCGATATGCAAAACAATATACTGCAGCTGCAGAAAGCTCTGTCGGATAAAGAGGGTAATGTAGGTTTGGCCCATACGAGGTTGGGCCGACGCGCTCAGAGGGTCGGTGCTGAGCTGGTCCGCGATCCTCCAGGTCAAGCGTTGTACTACGAGTGTGAGATGTTAAGGCACAGCGTAGAACAGCTGCAACAAATGCTGCATGAGGCGAACGCCTCGCTGCGATACCTGCTGCAAACCCAAATACAGCTGGAAGAAGACATCAATGTTAAAATGAACACTTTGAAGATCGATGAAGTGGACTGCATGACTCTACGTGCAACAATGGATTATCATGCATATTGAATTAAAAAAAATTCTCAAAATTGTCTACACTGCTCTATTCCATACACAAATACCGAATTGTGTTCAATAGAATTTAAACGCCAATCGGTTGTATTTATAACTTTTTGTTACAATTATATCTGTATTTTATTGTACTTATATTTTAAATAAAATCAATAAGGAGAAAATATTATTTTAATCGATTTTTGTTTTCTCATTTGTGCTACTTAAATTTTAAATTAATTTTTAGCTTTATTTGTTTCTATATAAATCAAATATTTTAATTTCACCTTACTTAATTTATATTTTCCGCTTAATACTGTTCTGTCGAAAGTAATAAAAACTAAATATCTCATGAAGCATTTCATATTTCAATTAGACTAACTAGTTGCCCCGCGCGAAATTTTCACAGTATTAAGCGTGATCGGCCACTAGATGTTATAATATATTATTATTATTACATACATATATATATATATATATATATATATGTATGTAATATATATATGTATGTAATAATAAGAAGAACTGTTTATTATATTGAATTATTATATATGAAAAAGAACTTATACGTACGCTATCTTTCGCCTAAATAAATTGTCACTAGATGGCATTACCATACATTCTTTACAAAAATTATGGCAGTTTCTTCTCTTTGTTCTTCGTACACCCCTGGGCTCATGTGTATTGATTTTCTTTCCCCACAGTTGCTAACTTGGAAAAAATGGTTTCGATGCCGTTATAGGTCATGGTTTGTATTCCCACATGGGGTAATTATGTGACCCACAGAAGACCGCTATGGGTCTGAGTGTTATTTGCTATAATATTCATGAATTAATATTATACCAAAGTAAAAGCAAATAACATGTAGGTCGGAGCCATGTTCATCGTTAATTACAAATGAACACAAATTTTTTATCTTCATATTTGAAATTTAACGAAAACATTTGCTCCGGAACATTAATTTCGGCTTCTTGTTGAGCAGTGTTTTCGAAGCATCGCAGTCGCTCTTCTGGGCTTCCTTTGGCATGGTGGGCTTAGAAAACTTCGAGCTGGCTGGCATCAAGACCTATACGAGATTCTGGGGCCTCCTTATGTTCGGATCGTATTCCGTGATCAACGTCATAGTATTGCTGAACCTCCTCATTGCAATGATGTCCAACTCCTACGCTATGATTGACGTACGTGATATCTTTACTCATCTAAGACTTTACTCTAATTCTATCTTTTTTCTTCATTTTAACTGAAACCTGATATGAAATGCAGAAAGTGACTTTGGAGTAATCAAAATTACGTAAAACCTTTGATTTCATTTTTTTTTTAAATTTGCAGTTACAAAAGAATGGATTTTTAGCTTATTATTGCTTCACTAAATAAAAAAAGTTTAAATATAGGAAATACTTTCAATTTAGTTCGATCATAATCGTAAATTGTTCTATTGTTAATCCTAAATTTTGTACACGTGGAGAAAATGTACAAGTTTGATGTCGTGGGTTCGATCGCCATACAGGTCAAGTATTTATGTGACACACAGATAATTATTCCAGATCTGGGTGTTTGTTTCCCAAGGTGGGTTGACGGTTGAAGTCAGGCACGTGGCCGGCCATAAAACATAGCTAAAACCACTTACAGCATGATTCATGTGTTGTGTCAACCCCGCCTAGGTGGGATAGGGCAGGAGGACGATGGAGAAATGTACACATTTCTTTAATTTTATTACTTAAATTGCAGGAACATTCCGACGTGGAATGGAAATTCGCCCGTACAAGGCTGTGGATGAGATACTTTGAGGAGGGCGCGACCTTGCCACCACCCTTTAACATTTTACCCACACCAAAGCTGTTCTGCAAGCTATTCGGAATGAGGAAGAAGGACAAGATGAGGAAAATGAAACTTAAGGTACGGTTCGTATTGTGTGTACGTGAACATTTTACATATAGTTGTGAATTATTTTTGGTTTGTAGTTGTTAATCACTTTTGTTCGTGGTTGTTATATTTAAACTATTTTATATTATAAAAGCCTTTTATCTGTCATTGTTTAGCTATATTTACATTATATACTAGTCTCTTTTATATTTTATCTTTTATCTCTCGTTGCTTCATCGTCGGTAGATTTTTTTAACATATCGCAGAACAAACGTTTAATTGTTTTGTCACGTTACCGCTTATTGTATACAGGTCTCTTTGTGTATTATTTCTATAGGAGCAAAAGGAGAAAGAAAATGATGTGAGATATGCAGCAGTAATGAGGGCGTTGGTCTGGAGATACGTGTCAGCTAAGCACAGAAAATTAGACGAGGAACCTGTCACGGAGGATGATATAAACGAGCTTAAGGGTGACGTGTCAGCTTTGAGATATGAACTCCTAGAGGTGTTCGAGAAGAACGGAATGGATGTATCCTTCACTGACAGGAAAGAAAAAAGTAGGTAGATGAAGCTACATTAGTGGGAGCTAATGGGAAAGACGATTAAACAAGGGCACTTACAATCTGAGTTTTAATTCATAAATGTTAAATTTGCAATTGGCTTAGATTTGTTTATACTGTCACTTGAAAATAAGTATTAGAATATAATAAAACAGATTAAAGCCCGTTTTCACCATCGATACCTAACTTTAAGGGACACTTATAAATATTTAAGTACTAGTTTCGTTTTAACCACCGCTTAAGTGTTACGCTTAAGAAGTTAAACATTAGTGTCCCAATTTATGTTATAAAATCATAAATTCAGAAAATTTTCAATATTTGTCGAACAAAAAATTAGCTTTGCCAAATAACAAAACATCTGTAAAGATTTGTCTTTATAAAAAAGTTTAACATGTTACTCAAATGGATTTGAGTTCTTATTAAAATATTAAATAGTGACCACTCAGATCGGTTAAGGTTCAAAATTCATCGTAATCGGTATTGTACTTTTTAGCGGTTCTAGCGAAGCGCATGAAGATCTGGGAACGGCGTCTGATGAAAGATTTCCAAGTCGCCCCAGTGCCGCCTGTGGAAGATGACGAGAGACCGGAAAATGAGACTGGGTTATCCAGATTCAGAAGGATAGCCAGGATGGCGGTTGCGTCTACAACTAATTCTATGTGGGATAAAACCCTAGCTGGCGCTGGTATTTCGTAAGTCATATCTTGGCTTATTTGGCATATAACTATGATACTCCACGCAACAACTTTTGGGTATTTACCACGACTTCACAGAAGAGTTAGTGGGCAAAGCATCTGCATCCTTACGGTTGTTGCAAATTTCCACGGGCGGCAGTTATGACTTAACATCAGGCGAACCGACAGTTCGCTTGCCAACTTCTCATATTAAAAAAAATATAGTCAAAATTTTACTAAATAACGTAAATTTATTATTAGTCAATTACTGACTACCGTACATATGTCATCTATCACTCTTTAAGATACATTAATGTTTTTTTTGTTTTTTTAATTTTTCACGGCTATTTCTTTTTATAATATTTTTTTTTTCTCTGTTGTGTACAATTTTTAATTTGTAATTCTAGTCTTATATTATCTGTGGCCATGTTGTCGATTATTTCGAAATTAGATGGTGCACTTTCAGAATATTTTATGTTTGCCTTACTTTTCGTTTTTTAAATGATTACTACTCATATTTTACTTGTTCCCGGTAGCACTACTTATGATTTTCCTTGTTTTGATTTTATTAAGTTTTAATCTGTAAACAGTCAACTGGTGGGATGGTATTTTAGATTAGTTTATTTTTACAATTAATTTTTTTTTTTTTTTTATTTTATTATAAATACTTTCATATTTTTTTTAATATTTGTGTAGTTATATTGATATATATATATATATATATTTTATAATGTCGGATAATGAGACTTACTATTCAGATATAATATCGGACAGCGAATGTTTTTATTCAGATAACAATTCTGATATTTCATTTTTATCTTGCGAGGAATCAATAAGCGATAATATTCCAACGATGAAAAATCATTTAGACAATATATTTTGTGCTGGCAATAAAACATTAAACATCTGTCACATTAACGCCCAAAGTATACCGAGTCACTTCTGAACTGGAAGCGTCATTTTCGTCTGTTAATATACATGCAATTTTAGTATCTGAAAGCTGGCTGAAACCGACTCTAAATTCTGCGGCATTTCCATTGACTGACTTTGTTCTTATCCGTAACGATCGTGTTGGTAAAGGGGGAGGAGGAGTTGCCATTTATCTTCATAAATCAATAGGGTACAAAATTGCCATGGCATCCTCTTCGCATTATTCCGCTTCAGCAGAATTTTTGTTCCTAGAACTGGATATGAAAGGCAAAAGGATGATTCTCGGAGTAGTGTTGTACTGTCCTCCTTCTACTGATTATTTCGCCAATTTAGAAACGGCCCTCGAAAATATTTTATCTGGACAGAAACATTGCGTAGTCATGGGTGATCTGAACACGGACTTGTTAAAGAATTCTTCACGTTCTCTACGGCTTCGAACAATAATAGAGTCTGTAGATCTCACAATTTTACCTTTAAAGGCAACGCATCACAATATTGACGCTAATGACTCTCTTATTGATCTAATTTTAACGAATTCCCCTGACCGTGTGGAAACGCATGGTCAACTTTCCGCTTCCGGATTCTCTCGCCACGACCTAATTTATGCTTCATTTAAGCTAAAACCACCTAAAAATACTCCCGTTTATGTATATCACCGCAACTTCAGGAAATTAAACATGGATAGGCTCCTTAAAGATGCGGCTAATACAGATTTTACTCCCTTGGCAGTGGCTCCCACGGCTGATGAGAAGGTGTCTGTCCTCAATAATATAGTTCATAGATTGTATGATGTCCATGCTCCGATAATTAAAGCAAAATTGAAAAGACCACCAGCTCCTTGGATGACGGATAACGTGCGTAAGGCAATGGCTAGGCGTAATAGGGCTTTCTCACGATTTAAACTTAATCGTACCGAAGAAAACTGGACAGCTTTTAAACAAGTCAGAAATAGGTGCAATCAGATGGTGCGTGCTGCTAAACGCCGATATATCCACAATCATATAAATAACTCTTCACCAGCGGATGTGTGGAAATTTCTAAACTCTTTCGGTGTCGCTAATTCAAGTAGTATTTATGGTTCTTCCATTTCTCCTGACGTTATTAACAAACATTTCACTTCTATTTCTCAAATGGATCCTTTAATTCGAGCGCAAACCACAGCTTATATAACTTCCACTCCACCTTCACACATTCAAGATTTTCATTTCGCTCCAGTTAATGACGATGAGACTAAGAAAACTATCCTAGCAATTAAATCTAGGGCTGTGGGCTGTGATGATATGAGCAGAGCTATGATAGTCAACTTGATAGATTTCCTTGTTCCTGCTATAACTCATATTATAAACTTTTCCCTTGAGTCAGGACAGTACCCATTCCTTTGGAAAAAAGCATATGTACGACCACTTCCTAAAGTTCCCAATCCAGTACTTCCTAATCACTTCCGCCCTATTTCAATTTTACCCTTCCTTTCGAAAGTTTTAGAAGCCTGTGTTTATAAGCAAATCTCTTCGTTCATTCATAAAAATAGCCTACTGAGTGATTATCAGTCTGGGTTTCGTTCGGGACATAGCACCACCACTGCCTTACTTAAAATTACCGATGACATAAGATTGGGTATGGATGGTAAGAAAGTGACAGTGATGGTGCTTGTCGACTTCTCTAACGCTTTTAACACAGTTGATTACGATATCCTACTCTGTGTACTTGCTCAATTAAGATTCGCTCCCACAGCGATGGATGGGTTCTCGTCTTATCTCCGCGGGCGTCAGCAGTCCGTCTTTATGGGCCAAGAGTCTTCACAATGGGCTGATATTGAGTCTGGCGTACCACAAGGCGGTATACTCTCCCCAATATTATTCTCGGTCTTTATAAACTCGATCACAACATATATTGACTGTCCATACCATCTGTATGCGGATGACTTGCAACTTTACCTACAGGCTGATATTGGTGACCTCCATAACGCGTTCACCAGACTAAATTCCAACTTGAGTATTATTCACGATTGGTCAACGCAATATGGAATATCTGTTAACCCCAATAAGTGCCAAGCAATGCTCGTTGGAAGCTCTAGAATGCTGTCGAAAATTGATTTCCCTAGTCTGCCTGTTATCCAATACAATAACAAACCTATTCCGTTGTCAAATTCCATAAAAAATCTTGGACTCTTTATGGACAACACTATGAACTGGGGAGTACAAGTCACTGAAATTAGCCGTAAAGCCTTTGTAACCATGCGAACTCTATATCGTCTAAAGAATTTTCTCCCTTTCAAGATCAAACTCTTACTTGTTCAGTCACTTATTCTACCAATAATTGACTATGCAGATGTTTGTTACCCAGACTTGAACAAAGACCTTCTCAACAAGCTTGAACGCCTATCCAACAACTGTATCAGATACGTTTACGGCATTCGAAAATTTGATCACATTACTCCCTATCGCACTAGACTTAAATGGCTTACAGTTAAACAAAGACGGAATTCAAGAATTCTCTTCATGCTTTTTTCGATTTTAAATGACCCAGCTTCACCATCCTATCTTAAAGATAAATTTAAATATCTCTATCAAAACAACGAAAGAAACCTCCGTTCTTCATCTAACCTCAAAATTTCTATTCCTCCACATAATTCTAGTTTCTTCGGTGACTCTTTCGCCGTTCAGGCTGCATTACTTTGGAACTCCCTGCCTGAAGACATACGTAGTGCACCTTGCAAGGCCTCATTCAAACGCAAAGTCCGCGAATTTTACTTAAAATCTGAATGTTAAATTTCATCATTATTTCAATATCGTTTATATGTTTGTATTTATGTATATTTGTTAGTGTTTTATATATAATATGTATGTGTATATTTGTATATATATATTTATTTTGTATATGTATGTAAGTATTTATATTTATTTAAGCGTGTGTATATTCCATACACTGTATATTTCATTCACATTAGTAATGTACTTGTTTTTTTTTTCTTCTTTTTATTGCACCTACTACAATTTATCTCCACGCCCCGGGTTGACTGGGAGAGAATGCCTAAAGGCATTAAGTTCGCCCTTTGTAATCCTTGTTTAAGGTAATTGCAATAAAGTATAAATAAATAAATAAATAAATAAAAATTTAAATTAACTGTATAATATAAGTATCAAATGGCTTAAAATCCAGTGTTTAAATGATTTACGCGAGCAAAAGTTTTTATCGTAATATTTACCATTCAACTATATCTATTTTATCACATGAGTTGAAACGATTTCACTCCGATTTAAATTTCGTCCAAGAATCATTTTTTGGTTACTCACTTTTTTGTTCAATTATCCCAATCAGGACTCAAATCGGCCGCTGTCGTACCAGAGAATCATTCAAGAATCAGCAGAACTTACAGAAAGCCATGGATGAAGCTAGGAAACTTGTGTTGCGTTCACCACTGCCTGGTAAACTTTTTTATTTAAGTTAGAAATTATTTAGCATACATGTCTGATAAGTAGGATACGAAGAAGAAGGTAAGAAAACTATCACGTAAAGCCACAATAAGTCAAGATTGGGGGGTTCTTGTTGTCTTGCTCAAATATGTATATTTGAGCAAGACAACAAGATAATTCCCCTCATCTCGTATCTTTCTCTTTATTAATACACTTTGTAAAATAATTCAATTCTAAATTTTATCGATATTTTGTTACTTACAACAAGATAATAGTATAAACTAAAACAAGAATATTCTTGACTATCTTCAATTGATGAATATCCTTAGCCTTCTTTACGTAATTGTAGTACAACCATGGCTTACGAACAATGAATACTTAGACAATGTTTTTATTTAAAATCAACAGAGGGATCCCGAGGTCACTCTCCCATAGAGATGCCATTGGCTCCCGGACACACGCTACTGGAGCTTATCAAAGATATATCGACGGAGATAGGTCTGCCTCCTGGAAACTCTACGCCCCGGTCGAAATCTCCTTGGAAAGGTGAAGGTTTGAAGTATTATTAGATTTCTTTATGTATACATCTGATTCAATTAATTATTTTTATCTTCTAAGAGGTTAGATTCAATTACATCTGCATCATTACTTGAACCAAATGACCTTATCAAGGTTGTTCGTTAAGAAATAATTACAGCATATCGATATATTGTCATGTCACAAATATTTAACAAGGGTTAATATGCTTCTAGAAGCTAATAATTTACCAATATTGTTATTCTTAAAGAACGAAATTACATTAGCGTGTATATTATAAATGTGTTTGTGTAAGATATAATCATGCCACAGGAGATAGATTTTGTGAATATTGTTAGTTATACGGACTTTTTTTTAACCATTTTTTGACAGCGAGAACATGTTTACAATATATCGTCTTTCTATTGGAAAGAACTTTGAGTGGTCCATTAATTTACAGAGCGTGTTATCATTTAAATTATCATTATTATTACAATAGCCATTAACACACAAACGTTCTTTAACAATTTTTCTTTGTAATTGAACATTTTGAATGTTTTCTGGGATTTTTTTGTAAAAACGCAAATATTTTCCCATAAAAGATTTACGTTAGAATAATTCGAAGTCTGACTAGTCATAAATTAATCCAACCCAGAGCTGTAGGTAGGGTAAATTTGTGTTTGTTCTTAGTATTTTTATCAGTATTAGCATGTCTCGAATTTTTATGAATTTTCAAGTGTAAGAAACAGTGAATTTATATCTTTAAACAAATATCTTAACCGTAGGTGCTTAATAGATAAGGGTGGAAGTTAAATCTAAAAGGATTTTAATAACATTCGTTGCTTACTATCTTTTGTATTACTTAGGTGAAAATTATGGTCCTTCGAGCGGGGGACTGCTGACCCCAAACTTTGTACCTAGCCGAGCTGCGTCTCCTGTTTCACGAATCCCAAGTCCTCTTCCAAGTGTAAGTAAAAATAACAAGTTTTACTTTTATATGGCCACTTATTAATGGATCTAAAATATAATTCCAAAACACTGATAATGACGAGACTATTTAAGTTTTGTGTGTGAGTGTAAAAGTGGTTAACGTCAAAATGATTCAGGGAAACCCATCGCCCATACCTTCACTGGAGCCCCCTGCGAGACCTTTATCTCCAGCTTGTGAGATAGAGAAACCGACTACAAAAAACAGTAAGTCAACATTCAAGTGTGGTATCACTTTTTTCAAGTAAAACTGGTATCTAGTAACTTTGGATACTAACACAATTTAGAGAATTTTTGTAAAAACCAAATATTAATAAAACATAAAATCAGAAGATTAGAGGTTTAGAAGCAAAAGAAAGCCAATGTGTAGGTGACACACCCTTGGCTTCAAAGACTATGATCTGATTATAAGAAGTCATTCGTCTTACATTCATTTCCTTTCCAATGCTTTTTGCTTATTTCAGACACAAGTCCATTTAAAACATCCATGAGGTCCCATAGTGATTTGACGCAAAAAACCCCAAGAAAAAAAGCTCCCGAGAAACCAAATCTATCAGATGAGCAGGTATTTATTTAGATTTCTTTTTATGATAATTTTAATGATAATTTTAAAACAGGATTTAACACACGATGTATTTTGGCAGGGAGAATTAGATTCCAAAGAAATAACTCCTTTGGCGGTAGCAAGACCTGTGGCTCTTGAAATCAAACCAGCCGAGGGAGCACTGCCTCCACCACCTGCTAAGCCGAAGGTTAATACCATAATCATATACTTTTACGCGAATAATTCTTGTATATGATATATGTATAAATTTCAAAATGTTTGCTTTTCAAGTTTATTTTAATGTGTTTTTTCTCAAGTCTCAAAAAGATTCTCCGTATGAATCTATTTCATGTAACGCTTTTCCGTAAAATTTTCATGCAATTTTGGCACTGAAAAGGTACGACAATATCCGAATACGAATAACCTTACTGAAAAAACAATATATAAAAATTAATATTATAAAAAAAAAAGAAATGCTTAGTCTTCCTAGTACTGTTGATATTGACTCCATACAGATATACTGTTGATTCTATATGGCTTGAGGCCCCAATTGATTCATGTTTTAATAAATACCTTAACTATATAAGTAAATATTAGTATATAAGTAAATATTAATATTATATTAATATAAGTAAATATTAATATATAAGTAAATATTAATCGCAAAACTAAAATGAAATCAATTATTCAAGTATACCCTTTTTAATAAAATTTACTCACATGTTACCACAATTAAATTATAGTGGGTGAATTCGTGAATTCCACTTGCGTAAAATTATTTCCAGGCATTAAGTTTAAATTTATATAGACCATTTTTCTTAACGCAAAGCGATTATTGCTTGACTTCTTTTTTCTTAAAGAGCAACTACATTGATTTCTCACAGATCCTTATATCTTTCTTTAACATAATTCTATATTATTGTAGGCCCCTATTGCACCAGTGATGGAAATAACACCTAGTTCGCCTTATATACGATCGGGTGGACCCTCGACGCCAAAGATTACGTCATCAACTGCCAAAGTTGTGCTTAGATCCCGGCCTTCATCTAGACCTTCGTCGCCGCAACCAAAGTGCACAACGCCTGTTAGTATGACGCACCGCTCAAAATTTAACAGTTCAATGGCCTTTGGATTAGATCTCTGATAGAAATTACATTAATATATAAGTCTACTGGTTCTTAAATTAACAGTAAATGCTAAATAACTGTCAGTTAACTGCATTGGATCCTAAGCAGTAGTCCTAAGTTTGTACAATAGTTTTATATGAAAAAAAAATCGACATTTATTTTATTTTGCGTTGAAATAAATCCACAATTAATGGTAGTTTTATTTATATAAATAGATGAAAATTAAAATTAACAAGAACCTCGCAATCAGAAAGGGAATAACACCAAATACCGCTTTATTTCATTGCTTTTTATTAAAAGAAATGAATATGTACAGAATCAAACGTATATTAATTACTTGTAGACGGTCTTAAATTATGCTTTCTTTGTTACGATTATTAGTTAATTTTATTTTATTCTTTTTACTCTTGCTAGCTCCTATTAGCTCTGCAATAACATATTTAGATTTTATTTTATTTTATCAATAGCTTTTTACCACTCACTTCCGTGGCATTCCACGCAGCAGCTTTTGTTGCGTTCCATGCAGCACCTTTTGTTGCAAGAATGGGCAGGCTCGCCCAGGAACACCACTGCCTCACAGATGATCAGTGGAAAGTGGGAGTGTTATAATTTTGCGTTTCGTTTGGCTATTGAGGTAACCGATGCCTATTTTGCATTTGGTTGCTACGCATCTCCAACCCCTTGCGTTATAGACGTATATGGGTGGTGATAATCACATAAAATCTGGTGAACCTACTGCTCGAGCTTCTTTAAAAAATTCTTTTTTATGACTTCAGTGCCCCAAATCACCTCCATCGCCACCAGCACGCTCCATGTCGACGTCCAGTACGGAACAGCTGATTCTATCACCGGGCCCTAAAACACTTCGACCCATCAATAAAATAGATGAAGTTAATACTATAAAACGTCAAACTAAAACTGGATGGCTTTGATTATGCTTATTTCTGTATACATACTTATATAGTATCGATTTCAGATTATGGCGTTTATCTATTTTTCATAATCTGTGTATACTTTATTCATGTACATCTGCCACCTCGAATAGACTATCTGTAATAAATGGCAAAAATGTCTGCAGTAATTATATAATTAAAGCGTGAGAGTAAGCGTAAGGATTCGTGAGGCGTGTAGTTTCAGAGCATTAAATTCATGTTTAATTTGAATGTCTGATAGACCGCAGTGTACTCCTTTGTTATGATTTCCTATGAGCCATCTATAATGATGAAGAAGATAATGATCATATTAACAACGGACTAAACAATTCTCTTAGTATACTTTTGACTTCTGGATATTTTGCCCTATATTATTTTTCTGCATTAAGTTTAATTAATTCAATAGCGTGTGAATGCAGTTTTATAATTATTACTTAAACAGTGCTGTTTTCTTAAATAGCAAAATCCTTAGAATGACACAAAATATAACTTATAAATTGGATTGGACAACTTAAAGATTTGGTGATACTTCAAAATATATTTTCATACTCGAATAGTTGCAGAGCAATTTAATCATTTTCTTTATAAATGATAATCTATTTAGCATTTTTAATGGTATTGTTACTGTACTAGTCTGTGTTATGTCCGTCATCCAGCAAACAATCACAGCGTACAAACACGGAATTTTAATGTCCATCGCATACATACCTTTTATAACTAGTTATAACTTATTATTATTGAATGTATATTTTTTAACTTTCACATTTTCTTATCAATTTATTTATTAACATACTCGTCTTTAATTCCAAATATGTGTGCTTTATTGTATTGTTCAAAGTATTATTAAATGTATTTTACAGTTTGTTTTATTTTATTATTACCCATCAATTTTTATAACAGTGGATGGCAACAGCATGTCATGCTTGTTCTCTCTAGAACTTTCGATATATCGTATTGTCCAGTTGTATATTCAGAGCAATGTAAAAAATGAGAATAATCCTTTTAACAAATATAATCCTCCTTTTCCTTTTTTTTTTAACAAATAAAAGCTTTTCTAAATTTAGGTATTAAAATTGCGATGTATAGACAACTACAGGAAAATTGGGAATAACGGCTTTACGCAAATAACTAAATGTTTCCACAACTACAGGCGAAATACGAACAGTACATTCCCTAAAACAAAATATACAATCACCAATGTACCAATAGATGTAACCAGAAGTTATATAATAACTATAAGATATATGATATAACCAGGTTTTTGTAAGTCAGTCCTTATGAGCGAAAATCACGATCTCCAAATTAACGTCACAGACTGACAACTTTACACGTTCAAGTCAATCACTTAAAATAAATAAATACACTTAGATAAGCTAAGCGATAAATTAATATAATGGCGATATAGACATACGATCTTTTCTCATAAGATTCTTATTATGGAGCAGATGGTAATTAAATAGAAGACGAATTAACTCTAACATATAAGCATTTTTATTTACAACCTCTATACTGTTTTATTGCGGGTGGCTTGCGAAATATCCAACAGCAGTTTATCAAAATCTACACATTTTACAGCAGCAAAAAAAATATATGTTAACCATGATCGTACATTCTAATGGACCATTGTTTCCAAAACATATTCTCGATAGAAAAAAAAAACATGAAACTACCTCTAAAAGAGAAATTCAAATCCAAATATGAACGTAATACATCAACAAAACTTAATTAAATTAATATCAGTGGTGTAGAATATATTAATAAAAAGGACTGTTGTCTTAATTTTTGATTGAAGTAAGATATTTGTAAATATTAATTAAATTCATTAAAATTAATTCGAACGCGATGGCCAAAATACCGCGGCACCGCGGCGTTGTTTCGGCTCTCTTCCAATTCCACACGTTGAACAGAGAGCGCTGACGCGCCTTGCTAGATAGACCTATACTGTAATTTCAATGTCTTATCTCGTGATTGGTCTATCAGTCCTATACATACGGTGTATAGGACCATCATTCTTTATGGATTGGGTTCAAAACCCTAAATTTTTTGTTGTACTTATTGTTGATTTTCTTATTTAGAAATATTTCTTAGATACCATTTAATTTTTGTTGATTTTTTATTTTCATAAATAATTACGACGAAATATTATTGTATTTGTCCAAAGTTGAAACAGTTGGAGAACAATCTATCAGTAAATAAACCAACTTTTAGTGTTAAAATTATTTAACGTCATCTATTTTTTTATTAAAATATTTAATTTTTCACCCTAAAAAGAAAATTTATCTTATACACGAAAAATAATTGATTTATAATTTTTCTTATTAATTTGTTTATTTCCCAAATTGAGCCATTTTATAAAATAAACACAAAATAATTTGTTGGCTAACAAATTAAAAGTAAAATTAATATAAAAAAATACAACTCCGCTCGATGAGGGTGTGAACTTGAGACTACACCTACAGCAATAGTTTACCGTTGCGAATAACGCTCGGACCAACAGGCTACTCGAGGTCTGTGGAAAGTGACAAAATTTCAAATCTTTTTATAATTGCTGTCGTTTATCGATACAAATAAAGATTTTATCGATAGTTTTTTAAATTTCACTTTAGTTGAGAAAGTAATATAACATAGTAAATCTTGAACATTTAAAGGATAAATAAAAATTCCTAATATATAAAAAATGTACTTAATAAAAAAAGTTGTATTCGTAATTTCTGCAAAAATTTTATGAGCCATTTCTTTAAAATAACAATGAAATGAAACAAAACCATGAAATCAAAAAATTATAAATAAGTAATTTGCCTTTATTAATTTATTTGACTTTAAGATGTATTTTTAATCAATTCCTTTTCCATTTAATTAAAAAAGTAATAGTAAACAGGAAGAAGATTTTCTAAAATTGTTGATTGCTTTCTCATACTTTATATTTGTTTGTTTATTATTCCTATTATAATATAAAAGTAAAATAAAAGATGTTATAGGGATCATCTGTGTACATTTTCGAAAGCCTTCCATGATACTATCGATAGTATCCTACGGCCCATCTCTACACAAACACTCACTAGGTAAAGAATGCCTTGGACTAGCGGCGCGTCGACGTAACTCGCGCGCTGCGCGCCGCTAAGCGGCGTTACCCCTCCTCCGCTTCCTCATACTTCACCACCCAAATAGTTAAAAATTCACTGCATACAGCGCCTTAAGTCAGCACTTTAAATTATGTTATTTGTTTATGTTTTTGTAGATTTGTTTGCTGCAGATAGAATTTTGACACACATTGCGAGAGATATTTGACATTATGGAGCTAATGTCAAATATCTATCGCAAATACCAATCCACAGATAGATAGAACATTGAAACCGGGTGTTAGGCAAGTCAGACATCAGGAAATCACCGGATTAGATCGTTGGGTTCCCTTTAAATTGTTTGAGAAGGATGGTCTCTGACGCGACCGTCATCTTAACTATGGTAGAGTCAAGTAACAGTTTCGGATGTTGCACGAATGCTGAGGTCCATCCGGGTAAGTACCAAAACCTCACGGAAGACCAGCGTGAAGTGGAAGTGTTATACTTCTGTGTTTCATCTGGTGAGTGAGGTAGCCCGGCCACACTTTATTAAAAGGTGGCAACGCATCTGCAACCCTACAGGAATCACTTAACATCAGGTGCACCACAACCTCGCTTGCCACCTTCTCAAATAAAAAAATCATATATCGTCCAATGTGCTACAAGGTACAAACGGCCTATCTGTCATTTAAAAACAAACTCCAATTGTTCTTCCTAAAATAATCATAAAGCACAGACGGTGTTCATAATGACGCCCCAGGGCAACAATCTATACGTTTTTTTTTAACTCTATATAACAAAGGAATGGAGGAGAAAACAATGCGCGTCTTGGATTGACCCCGGGCGCCATGTCGCTTGGTATTCCTCTTTATTTTTTATTCATTTCTCATTCAAGAAAATGGGATTTCAATGAGGAAAAATAGACATTGGATTTGAAAACAAAAATCGTTTTATTATCACTAAGTCAACGGAAAAGATAAATTGATTTAAAACTATTTAATAAATACACAATGTTTTTAGTGATAGAATATACAATGGAATTACGGAATTAAAATTGCAAAGCAATGGCAGTTAATAATCATTATTACTATTAAGGTAACATTTGTAAATGGAGATACTCTTCCTGTTAAATCTAATTTCACCCCGTATTTCTTCTCTTGGGCCTTTTTTGATTGTATCCGTATTTTTCTGTTTTGTTGTTGTTTAGCTTATATTATATAAATATAAATTTATGTTAAAGTATAGTGGGCCACGAAGTCAATTGAAGGTGTACTTTTTTGATTTGGTTGTTAGCTTGGTCCATATCGAAATTATTTGTTTCCCTACCAACGGAACTGGTCCATTCTTTACAACTAATTAGCCACGATAACATCAAACAGAACAAGCTCATAAAAACATTTAAGCATTGCATACACAATTGGTATATTGTCCTCAGTTTAACTTAAAATACGCAGAAACAATAGAAACAAAGAAATAAATAAGCATTTAAAATAAGTACCTACTAACTTACATTCTATTAATGTAATGGTAGAAATGAGACAGTCAATACGTCTTTTCTTGACAAAGGTGATTGTTGATTAGACCGATGTTGAAATTTATTATCCTAGTTATATTTATTATTACTATGTTGGTGTCGATTTGTCTCTCTAATATGCTGTAACTTTGGTGGGAATTTATCATTACTCAAGGCGTGACTGGATCTGATCCGTATGTAAAATGACTTTAGGAACTCGGAATCTTTTTAATCGATTAACAACGTAATAAAATTTTTGTTAAAATTAAAATTCTAACTAACAATTTTAATTAAGGTGGTTTCTTTTGATTAATGACAGACACTAGACATTATTCAGCCTTTGGCTCTACGTCTACGTCAAACAACTTTTGTAAAAAATACCAGATGTTCGACAATAAGATGTTACAGTGGAACAATATACCCAGATTCAAAAATGAACACTTCCTCAATTTATTTCTTACTTTTGGTGCTACTTCTGGTGATTGCTTAATAGTATACTTATTTCCTTGCATTTCAGTGAGGGCTAGATTATGTAATCAGCCTTAGTAGCCTCTTGTTATATCTACCTTTGAAACTAATTTTAAGACCTAAAGCCAGCCAGACACAATTTTCCCAGTTACTTTAGATCTTCCTTTGTCACCCATGGGTGGTGGTTTACTGGCTGCCGGCTTAGGGGTACTAGTTGATGGCTTTGAAGCACTTGTAGAAGTCCCTTCCTCGGCCGAAGATACTTTTACGGCTGGAGGTTTGGTTTTTGCTTCCGGAGTTGAAGTTGCCGGTTTAGATTCAGACGTCTTAGCTTCTTTGTGTTGATCTTCAAGCGTTGCAGCGGATAGAATCTGTTCAGATTTACCAGCAGTGCTCGTTGTAGGTTTAATAGGTTTTTGTAGATTCGAATCCTCTTCCTTTGTTATGTACAAGCTCTTTGAAGGGCTGCCACCTTCCGGCTCAATTTGTATGACGTGGTCTTTTGTTTCGGATTTCGCTGGTTTTTCGGTGGTTGCCTGCTTAGGTGAACTCGATGTGGACGGTTCCTGTGAAGACTTCACCGCTCTAGTTTCTTCTGATCCACCTTCTGAACCTGTTATTAAAAGTATTTTAGTAAATATGCTTACAGGATTTTATTCATTTATTTGTTTAACTTTTACATAACTTTTGAGTAAAGGTGAACTTAATACCTAATGTATCTTCAACTTGACGCAGAGATAAAAGCATTTATTTTATTTAGTACTAGCTGCCCGGACAGACGTTGTTCTTTTTTTAAGTATTAAAACATTAAGGAACATATATTCTTGACTTATGCGCTTACCAACATTCATTTTTATTTATTTAGTATTTACCGACTAACAATGAATTGCATTAATTTCAAACATGATTATTAATTCATATTAATAATCATGCTTTACTGTTCATAATAATAATATATAACTTATTTATCAGTTGGGGTATTTTCAGAGCACCATTTATGTTATGACATGTAATGTAGACTACAATTACAAGTGACATAATGTGATTGCGATAATGATAAATATTATTACAAGTATCTGTGTTTTGGATGTGCTTGATAGATTCCTTTAAAAATATTTTTGGTGTTTTTAACATTATGATTTTTTTAGACATTATGGAAATGGTTGTCTAACGGATTAAAATTTAAGTTTAGCTTCTACTTTTCTTACCTTTGCCTTCTATGTCAGCTTCCACTTTGATTTCATTATCTTTTAAATTTTCGTCATCTGATGCTTCCGGTATGGGTGTCCTCGCTCGGAAAGTTTTGCCTAGTTAATATAGCAATTTCAATATGATAAAAATGCTTATAAAAACAAATTTTCGAAATGTAATAAATCGTCCTCCGAATGGCTTTGACGTATTTTAGTATTCAGTGTATGATTTTTATAGTTATGTGTTGAAAGTGTACACCACGTGGAAATACTTCCATTTTTAAATTGAAAATATTTTTAAAATAGAAGTACATATTGCGTCCAAGAAAAATTTTCACCGTATTTAATGAAAATTGAATTATCAGAGCCGTGTGTTGGAAAGTAGAAACAAACATAAGAAAATAATGCCGATAGATATCTTGTAGTTGTAGAGATACCGTTTTGGAATTTCATAGCAAGAAACATCGGGCGCAGTTACCTTATTTGCTTGAAATATCCATCTAAAATTGAAACCGAGAATAATCGTATCCATTATGTAAATAGTACAACTTTCAAATGTAAAACTGTTCGGAACACGTACTTTAATATTGAAAAATATTCATGAATATCTAGAACGTTATTTTGTTGAAATCATTCTTGGAATGTATAAACAAGAAACGTAATAAAGCTTTAAATTTTGGATGGGCATATAGATGCAATTTTTTCTTGTAAGTCGAAATTTAAAAGGATCTATTACCTAGACGTTAAGCACAGCTTCACACATCCAAATAGAGAATGAAATTTAGAAATTTCTACAGATAACAAAATAAATTTCTAGACTAATTGTTTCCTTCGATGTCTAATTGTGTGTCTTAACTTACTCTTGTCTGATGAAGTTTTTTGGTCGAAGCTTTTATTAATTTATATATGTTTCGGACTTAACGCTTATTCAAAATGAAATGAATCAATAAAATTGCAGGATTTAACTTGTGTATGATAATTACCACTCTTCCTGTTGGAGCCGGCTTCATTTGGTTGCGTTTCTGCTTCAAAGACCTCGTCTACCAGACTGATATCCCCCTGTGAGCCTCTCTTTTGTTTCTCCGTGAAATCTGATTTTATCTTGCTCCTCATAAATTTGGCATACGCCACTCTAGCAGTTGGGTTGACAGACGATAGGTTGGGATTAAATTCTGTAGAGTTAATTTTTTTTTTATTAAGCCTGTACTTTAAATTAATGATACATTTTTATGAATAAAAATTTATAGGTTACCATTAAATTTTAATAGGCTAATCTCTGCACTTAAAATGAAATATTCAATAAAATTTGTAGCAAAATAGATGAAAAGTTTTTAATAGTTGAGGAATCGAACCCACATGTTTCAGATTTACGCGCTTAAGACGATATAATTATTATGCTAAACAGCTGATTACCACATCGACGAAAATTTAAACGTACTTTACCTACATATTTTTTTTTTTGGATTATAAGCAATGCTTGCCGCATCTAATGCTACTTCCTAGCATACAAATAATTTCAAATATGGTTTTAAACGAGAATTTGAATAGGAGATGTTGCCATTGCTGTTTGAAATTTAAATTTTTATAGTACTTATCTCTGCAATTAAGGTGAAACATCAAAACTTGTAAAAAAAATTAACGAAACGTTTTTCGCCGCTGCGAGAACCGAAGTAATGGAATAACCCAGTATTCCATTATTTTGTAAAATGATCTACTTTCTGTATTAAGGTCTTTTATAAAGTTCTACGTTCTTTTCGCAAAGATTTCGTGATGAGGGATTCTTACCCAACAGTTTCTGTGGATCGATGGTCCTAGCCTGTACGTTGTCCAAGATATGAGCTCGAAGGGACTGGCGGCTTCGTCTGTCATCTGCTTCGGACGTTCTTCCGATCGGGTCCCTTCGGGTCGTATTAGTACGCACCAGGGCGTTCCAGTCGCGTTTCTTACTGAATTAAGAATATACATGATTAAGGTATCAAAATCTGTATTTGATGCTACTTTATATTATGTAACTCTGCAACATAATTTTGTTTTCTGTCGTTAGTGGTATCGATGGCTGATCATAAAAATAAGTGACTGATAATAAAATGTGAAGTCAACCCTGCTTGGAAACAAACGTCACAGTACAAAAAAATAACAGAAATATTGGTCCCGCGTGGAAGAACCTGGTTTGAGTAGCCAACGCTTTGCTACTGCACGTCTAAAATAATTATTTATTATTGTTCCAAAATATTAGACAAAGAATTCTTTAGGTTCATCCATAGTTAAAATTGGAACTGAAAAATATAAATAATAATTTCGAAACTGTCGCACCTTTCCGTGCTGCCTTTCCTGACGATGGCCTTCGCGATTTGACTGAATACGTCCTTAGGTTTGCTCTCTCTGGATATGACATCCTTAATGATCCCTTCCACGATGCCGATCTGGAAGTCCTTCAAAATTCTTCTCTCCATCACTTTGCCCTTCTTCCCCGATACTGAAAATGTTATTATAAATCTTTCTTAAAGAAGAATTCTTAACCACTTAAAAACTCGAGGTTCCTTAGTTACGTTTGTATCAACTGCTAAGAGATTAAGAATTAAAATACTATTATTACTTGAGAATTTCTTAAGGGATCAAAGGTATTTCAATTCTTAATCCCAAGGTCATTTAATAGTTGCGTGTATTTTGTATTAACTGATGTTAAAGCTTTCAGTCGCGAGACTATTAAAGCATCATCGAACGCAGAACCGGTGGGCTAGCCAGAACCCAAGGGTTTGAGGCTCTCCACAGTGGGTAGGGCCGAGCATGTGCTCATACTCTGTTTCTAACGATACTATTGTGAGTTACTAAATTCATGCGTGAGTCGAAAGTGACTCCTAGATACCACTGACCCTTTTCTCCCGGGGCCAACCGCCAACCGGCCATAAAGAGACATTCGATAGTTGTAACTTAGTTAGATAGTTGTAAGTTAGTAAGACTAACAAATTCCGAGACATTTTTATAATAAAAAGGAGGGGAATTGTGAACTTGTGCATTGCGAAAACGACATCGTACTAGTAGTCTCCTGCATGTTGACCCTCGGTGTCTTCATTCCGTTGTTGTGCAGTATATCGATAAGCTCGAACCGCAGCGTGGATATGTCCTGTCTAATCTCCATCACGTCATCCTCGGTCACGCCGACATCGTCGCGAGCACGCTGCTCCGCCGTGACGTATCGTCGCACCAGCACGCGCATCACCGCCTCGTGCTCCTGGCGCGCTTTCTCACGAGATTTGCTCTGTACGGGCACAGTGAGTTTGAGAATTCGCAAGTAACTTGAGAATTTCTCAAGGGATCAAATGTATTTTTACTCTTACTCAGAGTATTCTCTCAACCTTTCTCGGACCTTCTGGTAAGGACAACATTATCTTGTGTATTTTTGCAAGTTTACCATACTAAGGGAAAAGGTAACATATTCGCGAACCCTTGTCGACTTCAGTAATTATTCTCCGTCTGCTATAGAGAAAATTTGGTAACTCATTTAAAATTACATAATTATATTTACGAGAAAACTAGACATTGAACGTATTTTTACGGAGTTGTATGAACTAAATATTTTTGCAGTAAATTAAAGGAGTTCAAGAAGAAAGCTTTTCCGAGACTCTCCGATAGGGATAAAAGTATTGTTTGACCTCGTTGAATGTTAGTAAGTTAGAATGTTAATACATTTTTAAAACTAAAATTAATTGTGGCATTTTGCCAATAACGTGGGCGTCGTGCCGTTATTGCTTTCCTTCTGAAATTATTCTTTGTAGTTTTTAAGGAAATAGTTACTTACAAAGATTAAAATTGACTGGTATGGAATGCCTCTGCGCATGAAGTCTGCTCTTTTTTACCTCATTAATTAAGGTTGGCAATCAATTTAAACAAAAGTAGTGATTGCAAACCAAGTGAGATGTTCCGTTAGAATCCGATAGAAGCATTTTAATATAAGATTATATTATATTGTTATATTCATAATCAACACATATCGAGGTAATCAAGTTAAATTCTTTTATGACTCCGTAGGTGATCTTTTTCGGAAAACAGTTTATACCACATATAAGAAGATAACATATTTGTTTGTTTCATACCGTTGTCTAATAAAAGATACTTTAGAAACTTTTGACTTGAGTAACGAAACCCTAAATGTGTTTTTGATGATATTTTTTGTGGCTTTGTTTTTCAAGTCGAGGATTCCTCGAATGAAACATTAACGCCATTATCCACGCGTAAGTAGCTCTGGAGCTCTATATATATATATATATATATATATACTTACATGGCCTTTTAACAAGTAGGTTATTATCGGAGTGAGAATAAGATTGATTTTATAATATCATACAGGTTGAAGCTTGAGGACAGTAGCATCATTTATACGTTAATGTATCAAGGAATTTAAATAGCTTCAACGAAGTAGTACTTATATACTACTTATATAATCTAATACATTAATCTAATATATCACCGTATCGGTGACTAAGGTCGATTGTATAATTTGGAGACAGATTCTTAATGGCTACTGCCCTCAATTAAGGTATGTACCTTGTTTAGTCTTGGTGGTTTAAGGTTAATTAAATTTTGCATTGAAGATTGTGTAGATATGGAAAGAAAAATAAAAAAAATCTCAACGAATTACTTAGCTCCATTGATTTTATATTACAGCGACCCTCCCCGGCTTCCCACGGGTGCAATGTATTATACACATGAACCTTCCTCTTGAATCACTCTATGTAGTAAAAAAAACCGCATCAAGATCCGTTGTGTAGTTTTAAACATATAAGCATACATAGGGACAGACAGACAGCGGGACGACTTTGTTTCATACTATGTAGTGATGCATAGCAAAGAGACGATTACATTTCAACTGACATTTTACCACAGTCACCCTTTCACAGTTCTTTTGCCTTCCAGGAACCCCTCCACTGACACTTAAACTTTATGGTATGGTATTTAAGTTCAAATTGACTTTTACGTATTATTACGAATCTTTTGTACGGGAATATAGAACAGTTTTTGTTTTTAGACTTTTTCAGGCAATTTTTTACATTTTTTCTTTCATAAGAACCTTCTCCTGATAATAATAAACACAACAAAAAAAAATAAGTGAAATCGGTCCAGCCGTTCACGCGTGATGGCGTGACCAAGTGAAATAGAGATTCATTTTTATATAAAATGAATTAATTTTATATTTAAATTAAACAGTCAAAAGTATTCAATAAAATAATTTAATTTAGTAAAAATTATAAATTAAGTTCTATATAACCCCAATAAAAAAACATAAAGTAAACAATTGATGTTTGATCCAAGTTATGTATGTAGTCGACTAAAACTAATGTAAAACTAAAAACTGGCCAAGTGCGAGTCGGACTCGCGCACGAAGTGTTCCGTACCATTATCTATAAAAACGGCAAAATACATGTGTTGTATGGGAGCCCCACTTAAATATTTTTTATTCTGTTTTTTTTTTGTATTTGTTGTTATAGCGGCAATAGAAATACATCATCTGTGAAAATTTTAACTGTCTAACTATCACTGTTAATGAGATAGTCCATCTGGAGACGGATTGACAGACAGCGGAGTCTTAGTAATAGGGACCCTATTACTAAGAATCCGCTGTCTGTCCGTTTTACCCTTTGGATATCGAATCCTAGTCATTAGCACGTTAGACGGTATTTTAACGGTGAAAATTAAATCGGTTCGACAAAATTTTGTTAAAAAAAGAAAACTATGTTGTCTAGCGCTTATACTGTTGGAGGCGTCCTAGAACAATACATTTTGATTATGGAGCAAGTAAACTGGTTTTAACATACATTGCAAAATTTGCACAAAACAAACCGTCGGTTTTAAATCCGATAAAACTTTAAATTGTAAAAATGGTCTTTAGATCGTAAAACAGAGGTTTTGAACCGTAAAAAGTAATTCCAAAACTTTAATTTTTATTACTTTCACTAAGGTTTAAAATTGTCGCAGCTTTAAACGTACTGTGTACTGCAGCTGGTATTTTTGAACACATATTGTGGTTCCGGTAGGTTAAGCTTGAGATTTTTCGTTTATTCTTGTAGTAAGTGATCGAATTCAAATATTTTTATTCAACATAGGAGCATTATGCTCACTTATTGATTGTCAAACTACTACAGGTTCGGAAAAGAAAAGCCACTAACCTGATAAAAACTGACGGAAGAAATTCCGAGGGAATTTTTTTATACCATTTTATGACAGTGAAAACGTGTTCACAATAAAACTAAAGTGACCTTGAAAGAGCCAGGAGCGATAAATTCATTTCCAGTGTGTTATCATTTGAATAATCAATAATATTATAATATAAAAATTAACACTCAAACTTTAATAATTTTTTTAATTTAGCAATTGATTAAAAACAATTTTGAAAGTTTTCTGGGATTTTGTTGCAGAAACGATTAAATTTTCCCATTAAAGATTTACACAGCCTAGTTGTGTGTAGAATAAAATTCGTAAGTAAAATATGTCTATAATACTTTATCATATAAAAATATTTTTCGCTGCCTAGCAGTTGACTGTTTACTTAACATAATTTTATTTAAAGTGCGCGGAATAAAATTTGGATATAGATTCATGGTTGAAGGTTTAAGATGAACCCACGTCTAGCAGACTCAAATATTAGGTGGTTTAGTGAAAGCTCGGATATACATAGTACAAAACAAAGTCGTCCCGCTGCTGTCTGTCCCTATGTATGCTTAGATATTTAAAACGCAATGAATCTTGATGCGGTTTTTTTAATAGATAGAGTGATTCAAGAGGAAGGTCCATATGTATAATACATTGCACCCGTGCAAAGCCGGGGGGGTTGCTAGTTTAAAATAAGATACACTCACTAGAATAGAACCCCGATCCCTTTTAGAGCACAATCGCTCGATCCAGCCCTTGAAATGCTTCGGTGTGGGTACGATGTTGAATGGCGGTGGTACCGTATCGCCATCCTCGAAGTAAGACATCCAGAGGTTGCTTCTCGCAAACTTCCATTCCATGTCAGATCGTTCCTGAATAATTTGGCAATTTTTAAAATCCCTGTACTCGAATAAATTTTTTTTTAAGTTTGAATCGTGATGATTGACTTTCAGGCTTTAACACCATGTAAAGATTTAAATAAAGCTGGAGGGCTAAGACAATATCTGGTATCAAATTATATTCGAGAGAGCATGCTTTCCAGATCATTCTTGATCGTAAGAATATTATAAATGAACATAAACAAACCCCTTAATTTTAAGTGTAGAATTATCACGTGCTCGGCCGTAAAGGAAAACATCGTGAGGAAACCTGCATATTTTCGAAATAATAACATTAAATATATTTAATAGAAGATACTACTAATATGTTCACATAATATAGCTGTAGCCTAAAACTAAAAACCTTAAAAAAATATAATATAATAACTAAAATATGTTATTAAAAGAAGTCTCTTTAGGCAAGGTTCGGAAGATACTGGCAGCTTTGAATAGCTAGACAAATTTTTTGTCCGAGGTAGCTGCCAGCTCTTCGGTCACCTGTGATGTCGAATAACCTTATTAAAAAGCCTTATAGCGCTAGGACCCCACGGACCAAGGGTCTCGACATCGAATGGGCCAAAATCATATTCGGAGCATATAAAGAGAAAAATCGATAAGTGTATAGGTAACTGTCGTTGAAAAAATCTCCAAGTTGTGGCTTTGAAGATATTTCATAGATTTATTAAAGGTTTATGGTGCCTTGCGTTGTATTGTAATACATACCGAGATAATTTGGTAGGAGTTGGACATCATCGCAATAAGCATGTTCAGAAGCACTATGATGTTGATAACGGAGTACGATCCGAAGGTGAGGAGCGCCCAGAATCTGGTGAAACTCTTGATGCCTGTCAGTTCGAAGGTTGTCAGGTCCACCAGACCGAAGGACGCCCAAAACAGTGACTGAGATGTTTCGAATAAGCTGAAATTAATGTGGTTTGTTTAGATTGTGATAAGAAATCGTGAAATAGTCAAAAACTTTTGTATAATGAATAAGATTAGAAGTTGTGAATTGCTAAAAACTTTTTTATCATAAATAATGCATAAATATGGAGATATCTAGGATGATAAGTGAGTTCTTCTTCGCATATTACTAAACACTAAAAAATTTTGAACGGTAGCGAAAAAGATTAAGTATTCGTACTGTCATCGGAGGGATTTAAAACTGCTTTGTTAAATGAAACTATTTGTAGTCGGGTTTAGGTTAAATTATAATATAACGACATTTCTAATACTGTACAGCATTTAATGTCTAATATCACACTCAAAAAAAATTATAGAAAAATATATTCTTAAAAACTAAGTAGTTTATTAAAAGAATATCATGTGGGAAACGTTTAATTTCAGCTGAAGACGAGTATTTACTTATCTATGGCCTCTTTGAATTGTGCGTTTATTGCTGTAAGAATACTCTTTTATGGATTGGCACGCGTTTGTTATTTTCAGTTGGTATAGATGCCCATAGGCGGCGGTAATCACTTAATATCAGGTGAACCGCTACCTTTTCACATAAAAAAGAAAACTCTTGTCATGTAAATGTACATCTTTGTACCTCAAAGGTAAATGTAATTATGTAATTATGTGACAAAACACGAATTTTACAGGAGAGGCAAAAATGCGTGGGTGAATCTTTGAATGGATATTTTTTGATTGTAATGTCATATAGTTTATTAATATATTTTATGGATATTTTATTAATTAGGGGTCGTTGGATTCAATGATTGATACTATTGTGTACAAATTGTTCTTACGATTTTAATGGTGTAAGAAAAATAATGTTGAAAAATGTGAAGTTACTATTACATGCCTCTGAGGTACAGAATTGACGGTTCCTATGTTCTTGTTTGCACTTATATTAAATGCCTTACTTTGCGTATCGTCTCCAGATAGTACATGCTCGCTCTTGGTTGTCAAAATCAGGTACACCGCTCGGAGTATGGTAACATTTGTTCTTTTCCAGTTCGGCGTAGTACCACATCAGTTGATTCAAACCTGAAAAAAAAAATGCGGTAAGTACTTAAATAATCCTCGCGTCTCTTCCATTGGAAATTTGCTTTTACAAGTACTGAAATGTAACTAAATAATTAACCTAAACAATTTTTATTTTGACATTACACTTAATTGGATTGTTGATCACGAAGACTTATACCAGGTTTTCGCCTAGAGATATCATTTAAAATATTTTACATATACTTACCACATCCGAAAGCGAAAAGCACCAGCATATACACGAAGAAGAACTTGATAATGTCGATGATCATCCGGCCTAGAGACACCTGCAGTGGTCCCAAGTAAGGGTTGATGGAGAAGATATGGACCAGCTTGAGAAAGGAGAAGATCATGCCAGCGGCGAAGGCACCCTCGGATAGCAGCATCGGGTCGAAGGAGTCCCAACGCTCACGGGGGTACCACGGATCAAGGCCGGCGCGGTAGTCACGCTGAGTATGAAACCCAATTTTGAATCAAAGCAATTAAAATGACTGATTTATATAAAATCGCTGTCAAATTTTTTAGGTAATCAATCTAAAGTCTAAACGAGTCACAAGTTTTAAATCTCCTCTATTATTTAATTTTACAATAATGAAACAGTATGAACTTTTTCTTTTTCACAGTTAAACCACTTACTTATTTTTTTATTTGTTCATGCGTATACTTCATTAATTTTAATGAAGTATATTAGTATACTTAATTTAAAGTTTTAGTTTTATCCTGGCGTTATATAGGTGTCTATTATTGCTTACAGCGATATAGCTTCAATTACCAGGTTATTTATATAATGTAATGAAAAGCCGATAATTCTCTAAGAACCATGAGCCATGTATGTTTGATAGGAAATTATCATATAATTATGGATCATGTACATTTTGTGTGTTCCTATAAGTAGGTAACTTTGAAATACATAGGATTTATTGGTGGAAAACAGAGTATTACATTAGGTACAAACTCAACGCAACCATTAAAGACTGCCAAACAATCTGTTTTAAGGATATTCCAAAGGCTTATAACAACGCGTATTGTACGACGTGCAAAGTTAGCAAGCCATTTGCAGTAGCCCTACTGGTCATATAGGTTCACTCCCATACGGTATAAGTTCATGTAGCTCGCTAGATTAACTGTCCCTTATATGGGCCTCTCCGGGTGAATTTGTGCATTAAACAAAGGACAATGCTTTTTCAGAGGTTACTGAAATAAAGTTAACGTAAATACCTGCACAATATACCAGGAGGAGAAGCGCAGACTAATCCAGGCTATATAGAACACGTTCGTGATGAAGTCTACTATGTTCCAAAGATCACTGACGTACTCCATAAGACCACCGCTCCACAGTGACCTTAATTCCGCCCATATCAAACCTAGAAAATTGTGTCGTTCAAATTCCATCACATGAATCAAATGTTCCTGCATAAATAGGAATTTGAACGCTTTTTTGCTATTTATGCTTAGCTTAATTTTAGTTGTGATCCAGTTCAAGTCTTCAAAATCAAGTGGCTGGTAAATGTAAAACAAACTTGAGATGTATTTTAGAATTTTATCGAAATCGAGAATTTTGTAGGAAGTAATTGAACAGGGCTGAGGCCTTTAAAAATGGTAAAAGGTGAAAAAAAATTACAGTAGAATGAAACTCATTGGAAGAGGAGAAGAATTACGGGCGATCTGAGTTCGGGATGTGGGATCAGTTTTTAAGGGTAAACACGGTTTATCTCGATTTCCGGAAAAATTACAAGACCTATGGAAAAAAGTTAAATGGCAAAGTTGTAGGTAATAAAATGACCTACAACTTTTGTCTTTACACTTTTTTCACATAAGCTCAAAATATATGTGAAATATTCAAATAACCAAGTTTTTGTTTTTTTTTTATTTTTAATGTTTTTTTTCACGAAATTTGGTGAAAACTTTCCTTTTCATCTCCCAAGTACCTTTTCCCTTCTTTTCCAATGAGTTTCATCCTAATGTAATTCTTTTTTGTTACAAAAATTATTGACCCTGGTCTATAAATATTACAAATTTAATGATTTTACCCCATGGAAAACTCGTCGAATAATGTGAAATCAAAATTAGTTGTAAGTCCTGTAGATTTTTACGGGTTGATAACATTTGATGCGTTTGTTTTCAACGGCTCCGTAGATGGATGGAAGGAGGTATTCGCGGGGAAGTATTTTAGCTTTTATTTAGCTCATATTGCATGCTAACGAATGCAAATTTACTTGCTATGAAGATGATGACGGTAAATTCAATCAAGCCCGGTAGAGCGCCTCTCTCGTGTGCCTTCCAATGTGCCACCAGCTCCTGAAGCCAACGGATTCCTGACCATTCCAGCACCAGAAATTCGGCTCTTTGGGAGGCGAGTGACAGAAGAGCTGGAAGAAGATCAACTACGGTACTCTCAAGTTTCGGTATGAATTCAGGTATATCAAAAATATTTCTGTTTTATTAATAATTAGTTCAAAGTTTAAAAACAAAGGATTGAATGCTAGGTGGTATTTTCAGATTTCTTAGTACTCAAGCAGATTTTACACGACGTTGTGTTAGGAGATGTGAAGACATTTTACAAACATAAATTTCACGCGGACACCACCCAGATGCGAAACAACTATCTTTCAGTCACACAAATAGTTGTCCCGTGTGGGAATCGAACCCACGACCCCCGACACCGAAGCCAATGCCTTGGCAACTGCGCCACGGAAACATCAATCTACTTTATACTCACAGTTTATGTACTTTATACTCACAGAGAAATAACATATAAGACGAGCTGTGTGAGATGAATTTAACGAATGGTTTCTTCATGAATTTTCCGTACTCTGAGTCTGGGTTCAACATGTAAATCGTGCAGTACACGGGGAACATGAATCCTAGTTTCGCAACCTGTAGGAGCAAGTTTTTAATTAATTTAGATTAACTATCATATCATTTTCATAAAAACTGATTGTAAGTGATTTATTAAAGTGGAAGGAAACTGAATGTAATCAAATTTCGTTCGATAAACTATTGAATCGAAAGACGGAGAGAATATTGTATTGACCATAGTCAATTGTAATACTCTGTACACAATTTTATAAAATATCTTTGCTTTACCCATTGCTTTAAAAGTAATATCCCTTATATAAATAGAAGGGATACCTTTTTAATTTTCTTATTTCTTCTAAAAGTCTCTCAAGTGGATAAAGCGGTAAGTGCGTGATAATAGTTTGCCGAGTCAGCAAGCGAACTGCCATCAAATACATGTAAATATACCGTAAGCATGATACCAAGGAACCGTTATTGACATGATGCTAGATCAAAAACGATGAAAAGTAAAAATGATTGTTGAACGACCTCACAAAATTGAAAGTACCTTTTTGTTGTTTTATAAATCATTTAAAAATATTGAGCAACTTTTTTTGATGCATTAAAGTTCACCAACATATTCTTACTTAAGGTATATTAATTTTTGTTGACGTAATATTGAGCCGTGATAGCTCAGTGCTCCCGGTACTCGTCTTTAATTCAATTTTATCGAGTCAAATTGATCCGGTGACAGCACGGATGAAATTGTTAATTTTAAGTGCTCACTTCACGTACTCAGCGTTGAAGGAAAACATAGTGAAGAAATCTGTATATTTTCGAAATAATAACAAAAAAAATATTTCGAAATTACGTTAAGTCCGTAATTTCCGCAGTGAGGTCGTGTGGTAGACTATGCCCTGATAACCCTCTTTACTGAGGTCTTTGCCCAGCAGTGGGACATTTCCCACCTCATATCTAATAGTAGTCTAATGAGAAATAGCCAATACTATATCTAATATTGACAACTTGACCTGATATTGTAGTTTGTACACTTGTTGTGAATATTTTGGAAATTTTTGAATACCTGAACGCATTGTCCGACAATGTTTTTCCGTTTGAATCCGGGTAGGCCTTCATACCATATCGCTCCTAGTAGTTGTTGTACGTTTGGATGAGCTACAAACTGTGGGAAGTACAGTATAAAGTTAATATATAGGACGTATCGTAAAGGGACATAATGTAAAATATATTAAACTAGCTTTTCGCCCGCAGCTTCACTCGCGTCGAAGCCTTTAAATAAATATCTTTCTTAAAAAAAATTATGTAAAATTATATAGCCTGAGAAAGGACATATTGCATAATATGTCCTTTCTGAGGCTCTAGACTATCTGTGTACCAAATTTCATTTAAATCTGTTCAGTAGTTTTGGCGTGAAAGCGAGACAGACAGAAATCGAAATTTTAATTAAAATATTACACGCGTACAGTAGTCTATCTCGCTACGATACGTTGTTAATTTATTCACTTAATATAATATAATTAAATAAGTAAATTTTATCTTACAATTTTTTTTATAAACACATTCCATTACTCCAAGTATTATCATTTTTTGTTGTGTGATTTTATTGTATGTTGTGTGATTTGTACGAGTTTATAACATTTGGTATATACCAGCATCGTAAGAATGTGAACATATAACATAATTTACTGTATACATATACTAAGTATATTGTACTTGGGATGCAGGGACATATATTTTTTTTAAAACGAAACCGTTCCAGCGGCACGTTCACGCAACTAGTACTTATGTAACGTAATAAAAGTTAATGCAACGGTTACGTAATAAAAGGTTTTTGCAGGACGAAACTTTCTTTTTAAACTCATTTAAAATAATACTTCATATTAGAATGTTTATATTACTCGCTAAAATTAATTTTCTTTATAATAATTACTTGCTCATTACTTTATTATAGTAGATTAATAGTTTAGGATTATAAACGATTAATAGTATGGGAGTTAAATTAGAAGATTATAGTATAGGAGTATAGATATTCTAGATTATATTCATTTATAGCAACGGTAACTTGTATTGCTTGGCTTTTCCGTTGCCATTTAGCTAACTGTTTTTTTTTCAAATATTTCGCAAGCTGTAACGCAAGTACGTGTTTTAAGATTTGCGACTATAGTAGAGTTGGAAACTTCTGCCTTATTGCTATCGGATGACATCTTACTTTCAGTCAGTACCATGTAGGGCTTTACGACCTGGTTTTACCTTTGACTTTTATGATCAGGGTCCTGAAAAGGCTAAGTTTAGTGTTATATATTATGTTGTATAGAACTTTGACCCTGACTGTTATCCACTGCTTGTTCCTTAGATGGGAGTAGTGAGACCAAAACTGCAAAGCGTGTTCGAGACGTGTATCTAGAATAAAGTTAGTTTTAAACCGACGTTCCAACCGCGCTGTATAATGCGGGCCCTTTAAAAAGATACGAATTGCAGAGCACGACGCAGCACTATAGCGGCCATTTCGTTCTCTTCGCTAAATTGAAATAAACGACCCTCTTCTTTACAGCAAAATACCGTTAAGCTGTCTCTGGATTCTACTACGGAGTTTGTTTACGTATGAACGTGGTTAACTGTCGATCATTTAGCGAATTACCACATTTCTAACCTAACCTAACCACGACAGGTCAAAAAGTGTTAAGTAATCTCAACGTTAAACCTTTAATGGGTAATTAAAGATTTACCATCTGTAACTTCACCTGTAGTAGGGCAACGCAATAGTCTACTTTGTGTGTGTGTGCCGTCAGGGGAAGTACCACGACCTCATAGAAGACCGGCGTGAAGTGGAAGTATTATACTTCTGTGTTTCGTCTGGTGAGTGAGCCACTTTCTCACATAATAATAATAATTACAATAAACCACATGACAGGGCTAGAAAGGTACCCGTGCTTGATAGAACCCATAGTCTTGGTAAGTCTGTAAACATACAACGGGTACATTGGAATATAGCGAGTTTGATATACTGACTGGTATAAGGTTTAGCACAAATGACTTGGTGGCGCATTTGCTAAACACTGAGGGCCGTGGGCTCGATTCCCACACGGGGCAAGTATATGTGTAAGAAACAGATATTGTTCCAGATTGTTTCTTCTTGAGATCTTGGTGTTTGTTTTCATGGCGTGTTGATGTTGGACAGACGACAGAACGTAACAAACCATAGCCAATTAACAACATGATTGACATTCTGTGCTGACCCTACCTATATGGGATAAGGGGGTTAATATATAAGGTAAGGTTTAGCACAAATAAAATTGAAGAATTTTTTGTCCAGACCCAGTGTCGCGTTATCATTAACGTGGTTTTCGTACGAGGGTGAAATAATTTACCATTTTTTGTTTGTATTTAATTGCTAATTTGAGGCGGCCGAGCGTTTGTCTCTCCCCCGGCTCCCAGCAGTCAACGTCCCAGGGGTTGTAGTTGAGCATGATTTCTAGTTCCTGAGACGTTCTCGTGTGGTCTAGCAGTGACGTTGCGAACTCCTGACATTGTTGTCTTAACGTCTGTGACGGAATAAGAGAGACGTATTTTTATTTATTACCAATATTTAAGTTTAGGTAAGGTTAAGTATATTATATGTAAATACAGCGTGTTTTTACCATCGCGACAATAAATCAACACGCCTATAGAGGATATTTTTTTTTTAAAATTGTATTAAAGATTTACATTCTTCAAGCATCGAGTTATCAAATTTTCCAAAACAAAGAATTTTAGAACACCCTTACGTATAAAACTTTAATGTAAAGTACATTTGTAAAGGTCACAAAGCATATGAATGGGTTGAATGAATTTAAAAGAGACAAAACATACTGTAGAAGGAGAGGCTTGTAATGCGGCGCTGTGGCATCGAATGAAAAAGTCACTGAATGTATGAATCAGTCAGTTGTAGTTGTATTGGATGTTACAAATTTTGTTTCTTTTTTACCTAATTAGTTTGTTTCATAAATAATTTTTTTTGAATTATGGATGTTTTTAACATTAAATTTTTTTATGATTATTGGCAAGTAGCGTTAGATGTGTGTTCATTTATTGTCGCGGTGGCAAAGACACGCTGTATATCAGTCGCGTAAAGTCGTAAGAGGAAATATTTTATTATTTTTTATATTAACAAATATATACATACTAAGATGATGTCAAGTTAATGTTAAATAGATATTATTATCTAGTAATTATGTCTGTTATCTAGTTATTAACGACATTTTTCTAAGATTCAAAAGACGATTATAAACTATTATTCGGCGTGTATTAAAGCGATATAACCGTCAATTCGGACAAAATGGTAAAAAAAAGCTTGATCAAAGTTTTGTATAACAGATTTATAAAAGAACAAATAGAAATTATATTATGTGAAAGAAGACAGGGATATAAAATAGGAAGAATGTAGAACGAACAATATATAAATAAACACGAATAAAATAATTAACAAGAAAAATTTAAACTGTTTACAGGTCTTGTGACGCCTTTTGAAAAATTTTGAATGCTAAATTATGGTTAACATGGCCTCTCAGAAAGCCGGCGTTAATTATTTAAATACTAGAACGATTGGATTATCTGGTGCAGTCCACACGGTGACTAAATTTCGTATCTACAAATGCTACGCACGGAGGCGTGATTTTTTTTAATTATCCTTCACTTGCATGTATTTTATTAAAAGTCATATGACCACCTTATCATACAGTTCTGTCTAAAAGCCGATTTACAATTATAAATAGAATATGACTTACCAAAAGTAAAGTACGAATACAAGTATACCGTATTTTCACCAAAAAAATATTATAAATGGCCTTATTTTAGAATAGCGTACCTTATATTCGACTCGGAACTCGGTCTCCATTCTGCTGAGCCGGCCGAGCTCCCAGGAGAGCTGGAAAGCGGTGAGGAGTGGGTCGGCGGAGGAGAGGGCTATCAGGGAGGGAGACGAGAGGGCCCGGTACGCGTTGATTCGGGCCTGGGAGTGCCGCAGGGAATCCTCTTGGGAAGATTTAACGCATTCGTCGCAGCCGCACCTGGGCAGATTATGTTTTAGTAAGTGACACAGCGTGTTGGTTGATATACAATCTTCTTGAATTTTTCAAAGTGGCGTACGAGCTGGCGGTCCATCTGATGTTAAGTGATAACCACCGCCCATGAACATTTGCAGCACCCGTAGGCTTGCAAATGCGTTGCCACCTTTAAATAAAGTGGGCCCCGGTTACCTCACTCGCCAGATAAATAAATGATTTTGTTTTTGATTAGGACTAAAGGCAGAGGTGTAACGCTTCTACTCCACGCCGGTGTTCTGTGAGGTCGTGGTACTTGCCGGACGGACCTGCCCATTCCTGCAACAGTGAAAACTGTTGCGTGGCCCTACCGCAGTATAATGATACAGTTTTTCAGTACATGACACATATATTAATTCAAACAAAACAGACTTTAAATATCTCACTCACTGTACATTTTTTATTTTGTTTTGAACATTTACTGATGTATCTCTGGAGTTCAAAGTCAAATTTCAATGATTTAATATGGAGCTCAACAGAGTATTAGACAAAAACAATTTTTAAAATCGCTTCATAAATTACGGAGTTCCGAAGTAACAAACATTATTAAAAACAAACGGAATAGATATACTCCCTTTTTGACTTCTTTGAGAAGTGGCACATGTGACAATTTTCTGATTTAGTTGTGACATAAAATGTTAAAAGAAACTAATAAAATTTCACATAAATAGAAGAAACTACAAAGAAAATAAAAAAATAAAATACAGTACACGACAAAATTTTAAGACCACCAAACTTCCTGTATGTCCTGTCTAGGTCCAGGCCTTAGAAAAAATGAGCCATCGTTGACATGTGTTAAACATCGACATTATTTTATATTATTTACAGATAAAACGCCAAAAATAATAATTTATGAAAGGTAATCAATATTGTATAAGCAAACACAAATGTTCAGTCTAAAAAAAAAAAAAGAAGAGTAAATATTTTTGTTTCTTACTTGACAGTTGCGCATGGCAACACATCATCACACCGTATTAAACGTTTCATACTATCAAATAGCGACGCTTCGCCATCAGACGGTCTTACCCGTCGCAATAGATGTTTCATATAAAAAATTGAAATAATTACAAAATGTAAATTTATTTGTTTAGTATACATTGCAAATAATAGATAATCACCAATGTTGTTTTTTATACAACATTGGTTATTATCGTTTGCATTATTTCAAAGGAAACTTGAACCATAAAAGCTTTTGCTAACAGCGGTAGAACATTTGCTTTGAATGTTTTAAGTCTAAATACTACAAAGGTCCCTCTTGACCGTCTAAAAAAGTACAAACCTTTTCCTTTGTTTGTCGTATATATAATAAGATAACATTTTATTGAAAATCTAATGTTTAGTTCTTACATTTGAAAGATAACAACAATGCCACTAACATTATTTTGATAAAAGTAATTAGTCAAGAGCTAATTGCTTTTAATTTATATTGTTATACTTTTATATAGAACTAATTAAAACACAATCAAAGGTTAATGGTCCACGTTTTAAATTAAGTATCGTTTGAATATAACCACGTAAAATTAGCAATAACCCTAAATTTTATTTTATCAAATCAATCAAATGCATAAATGTTCTGAGAATTGAAATGGATACCGTGATACAGCGTTGATATAAAATATAATATTTGCCTTCTGAACTAGAAATCACAGTCCATAGGCTGATTTGAGATAAGGAAATCAGTCTATGGACTGTTATTTCCAGTTAAGAAGATGGTAAAATCCTCTACTTAATCTTTAGTATTCTAGGTAAAAAGCAGGTCGGTTGCCTTCTTAGGCAGTATTGTAACGATGTTTCATATAAGTTATTTTATGTGAGAAAGTGGCAAGTGAGCTGGCGGTTCACCTGATGTTAAGTGATAACCGCCATCCATGGATAATTACAATGCGTTTCCACCAGTCAATAGAACTGGCCTCGGCTACCTCACTCACCAGACGAAACGCAGAAGAATGACACTTCCACTTCACGCCGGTCTTCTTTGAGGTCGTGGTACTCACCCGGACGGACCTGCCCATTCGTGCAACAGCCGAGGCCTGCTGCGTGGCCCTACCACATTTATACACATAAATAGAATAAGGTTTTTCCCTGGGATACCTATATAGAACCTCTTTTAAAAATAAATACTAGCAGTCCAGACTTCGTTCTTTTTTTAATACCTTTATTAAAACCTTCAATACACACAAAAAAATAAATTAGCCGACTTGGTCCAACCATTCTCGAGTTAAGCGTTTACCAACATTCATTTTTATTTATTACTAGCGACCCGCCCCGGCCTCGCACGGGTGCAACCTATTATACATATAAACCTTCTTCTTGAATCACTTTATCTAGTAAAAAAAACCGCATTAAGATCCGTTGCGTAGTTTTAAAGATATAAGCATACATAGGGACAGACAGACAGCGGGAAGACTTTATTTTATATTATGTAGTGAAGACTAGTACGCGTACAAAGGAGTTTTTCATGTTAGAGAGTCGTTAGTGGGACATGAATGGTATGAGGCGCGTAAACCTGCGGTGGTGATTGATGAAAGTTCTGTACCTACTTGACGTCGTGTGGCACTGGCAACGTGGCGCCTCTGTCCAGCAAGATCTTGAGGATCTCGTAGTGGTTCCTGTGCGCGGCCAGTATCAGGGGAGTTATGTCCGATGTGAATGTGGCCGCTGCGGTGTCTACCGACTCCCAACTCTGGAGAAAGTTCGATATGTTGAAAGGCCGATCTTGAAGTCTAGGTAATGTATACACTGAGATCACTCTGTGACGTAGTTGCTCATTTGTATTGGTTTGGGATAGATTCGGGTAACAGAATGCATAGAAGCGGAGAATGTTATATATTTCAGTTTTTACATACAAAGATGTTCCCTTGGTTCTTTTTATTCAGATTTCTTTAAACACCTTAAGAAAGTTCTTAATGTGTTTAACTCCATAAGACGCATGTTTCTATCTTGATGCGCCGAAAAATTTTTAGAAAATTTAAAATAAATTTTAGAGAAGAAATTGTTGTCCTTTAAATCTCATGTTTTGTGCCAGTAATTTTTTATTATAATAAAAAATAAAAATAAAACTAAACTCACGTATGGTTCACCAGGGACGTGGTGCTCCTCCTCCCACTGCAGCAACAGTTCCACCGCTTCCACGTATTCTTCCTTGATGGCGTGCAAAAGCGCGTCCTGGAGATAAATCGCTTACTTTAACCAGTTCTAGTGATATTTTATTAAGTTTTTGCCATTTTTCATATTGTATTGATTCTTCTCTAATCTATAGAGATTGTAGAAGAAAATAAAAAGAAAAAGATAATTGAACAGACCGGATATTAACCCGGTTTATTATTTTGTAACTTTGAACTCTTATAATATATAATATAAATACATACAATAAATACATAAAATGTAAATAAATGCTAGAAATCGATCTTTATCTTTTCTTTTAATTTTTTTTGCCACACTGCCAACGTAGCTGGTTGGAATCCGTTAAGGAATATTCAGTTTTTCGAAATTACGTTCAGAATGTACCGATTCAAATACGGGCCAAACATAGACTCCACAGATACAAGATCTGACATGATTTGGAACTATTTAGGTTTTAGCGTATGCATTAATTAGCTATCTCTAGGGCTATGAAAAAGTTTATTTCAAATATTATTCCTCAACTGGTTGAAGTAGAGGATCGAAGAAGTGATTGTAAACATAACCATAAATGAGCTACCAACGACATGCATCGAAGAAAATAAAGTTAGAGCGAGCCACCGGCCTCGTCCGAGGCTAATGTGATTACGTCCACAGCGCATATTAGGCCACCGCTCATGTGTTCGTTAAGTGGTCTGCTCTCAACGACGATCTTTTTTTACGGTGGCAAGAAACCAAGCGTCATCACATTGGTGTGCTGCCTTCATCCATTGGCGGCGATTCTTAAAGTTGGCACGATTGCTGTCAACGTTTGAAAGATTGGGAGGCTACGATCATACTGAGAAAACAAAAAGTATCAATAAAAGTGCCGGCCAATAGCGAGTCGGACTCGTTCACGATGGGTTCCGTACCATTATATTAAAAAATATAGATTATATATAAAAATGGCAAGAAATCATGTCTGTTATATATGCGGCAACAGTAATACGTCATCTGTGAAAATTTAAACTGTCTAACTATCACGGCTCATGAGATACAGCCTGGTGATAGACGGACAGACAGACAGACAGCGGAGTCTTAGTAATAGGGTGCCGTTTTACCCTTTGGGTACGGACCCCTAAAAAGGGTTGCTCCACACTACACCGTTACCAAAGTTATTACAACATAAACATACATTTAATTGATATTTTTGTAATTAATGGATGTGTACTTGAATTTACAATAAATGGTGTGGTTACACAAGCGTATCTTATTCGATAGCGGAAATGTTTTTAGTTGCATAACCTCGCCATCGATTTTGTTCTACGACCGCATCACTGTAATTCAATTAAGTGCAACCTTTCTACGGCCTACTGAAGCATCGAACTTTCACCCGTAATTAAAGGTAAATTAATTTGTAGGGCAAATGCGGCTTACGATAAGCCGATGTTTTGCTTTTTTCATTTGTTATTACACATACGATTATTTCAGAAAAAGATGGTTAAGCGTTTTATGGAGAAATAGATAGTATTGATTATAGTGACACTTTTCTAAGTGCCCCAAGGTTTAGTTTAACTACTAAGAAAAAAATTGTAGGTAGAATTTTAGAAACATGCCCTATGAATTACTCGTCAGTTTAGTTTAATAGTAGTTCTGTTAAATAACTTTTATTTAAGTAAATTATTTTATTGGCCCGATTGGCATAATATGTGGAGAACCTGCCTCTTGCGTCAGAGGGTGTGGGTTCGATCCCCACTACTGGAAAAATATTGAGTCACGTACATAGTGTTTTTCCTGTGTCTGGGTGTTTATATGAAGAAAAGGGGCAAACGAGCTGGAGGCTCACCTGATGGTAAGTGATTACCCGTTATATATATTTTTTTTATTATTTGAAAAGTTGCCAAGCGAGCAGACGGTTCACCTGATTTTAAGTGAATACTGCCTGCCACCCATGGACATCTGCAACACCCGAGGGTTCCAGATGCGTTGGCAACCTTTTGAATATTGGGCTCCGTATTGGCATATGTGTATAATATTTATTTATTATAAAAGATAAGTATGTATAAATATGTTTATCGGTCATCTAGTACCCATTGTACAAGCGTTGCTTAGTTTGGGACTCGAGAACGTAAAGATTTATTATATATTTAGAAAATATTTAATGGTATTTGTGATTGCTAACAATGCACGGAATAAATGTTACCTTCTAATGCACTTCTCTAATAAAATCTGGGTTTCTACTGGGTTGGAATTGTGATCCCCATATGGGATCCAAAGTGCCCAAATTCGCACAGGAGATTCAGACTGGGTAGTATAATCGTTTATTAAAATAAAAACAAACTTTTTTTTTCAAAAATTGCCATTCCATTCCCTAAAAAACAGAACTTGTTGACAATGCATTTCATAAATGCGCCGTATACTTTTAAAACGAACTTGTGTGCGTGTTAGTTATGAATGATCGCGCGTAAAATAAATGAGTTGCCCATAAATCACGCACTTTTTTAGATAAATTCAAATGAATGTATCTAATTAAATTACTAGTGATTTTAAATATTTATCATTATCATCCTATCATATCATATAAAATTATTTATGTCTAAAATTTAATAAAAAATGGATACACTTAGAAAAGCCTCCCTGTATATTCAATGAAATTTGTGTATGAACATAACGCCGGGCAGAAAATAGTTTTACTGTGGTAGGGCCATGCAACAGTCTTCGCTGTTGCACAGAAGACCGGCGCGAATTGGAAGTGTTATACTTCTGCGTTTCGTCTGTTGAGTGAGGTAACCGGGGCCCACTTTGGTTAAAAGGTGTCAATGCATCTGATACCCTACGGATGTAGCAAATGGCCATGGGCGGCGGTAATCACTTAACATCAGGTGTACCGCCAGCTCGCTTGCTATCTTCTCATATCAAAAATAGGCCACGTTAGAAGTAACATAAAACGAGCTTATGTTTTCTTTGATGTGTTTTATAATATCTCTAATTTACCGCGAGATTAATGATGCACATGGAGGACGTCGTGAAATGTTGAACTATTAACATTTTTATAACACCCGCTAAATAGCATGCTTTGAATTATTAGAAACAGTCTGTCAAGATGTTATAGAACAGTTTTGTGAACATTAAATGTGCCATATATTCTCGGAATTATGATGTAAACAAATCTAAGCTTAAGCTTAAACATTATAAAACCTTGACGTATTTTATAACGATAAAATTTATGACTGGGATGATATTAATTGTTGATCGTTAAAAGTTCTTTGGTGTGAGATTTGTTTTTTTTAAATTTTACGATGTGTATGGTTTTTGTAGTCTTCATAAGCATAATATATACCTAACCCACTTATATATTCCTAATGGAGCTTTTTAACCACTTACAGGGTAGAGAAGTACTTTGTAGATAGTAACTTCTGTTGTAAATAGGTAAAAATAAATCAATTTTAGTATCCTTTCTATAATGTATTGTGTTCACCAATTTTCTTTTTTTATAGATTAAGATTAAGGATTATTTGTAAGTGTTATCATACTTATGCACTAAAAATATATATGTTATATGTTATCTTTAATGTTATCAGTAAAATATTAATATCTTTAGAAATTTTCCATAAAAATTATGTCCGAATTTCGCATAGTGGGTGAATTCGTCAGGTGGGATAGAGCTAGTAAAATGGAAAAAATTGTAACAGTTATTCTGCCACTAAAGATATTTGGAACCCGAAACTCGATGTGGTACTTTAATTAGTTTACCAGCTATGCCAAGAACCAAGCTGGTTATAGTTGGCAGTAGGTTTTTATCTTTCTAACTATTAAGGTAATCAGGTAAATTACTAAACATCACGGGAACCGCCTGCTCGCCTATTCTTCTCACATTAAATGCTTAAGGTAATTTCATTGGAATTGTGAAGGTATTTAAAACCCATTTGATTTCTTTTTCCTTTTCTTAATATTGACTCACGAGGTTGACATATAAATGTGCAAGTAAGATAAGTCCAACGGTTTTATTTATTTATTTAATTTAAATTGAATTTATATTAAATTGAAACACAAGCTACGAAAAATATTAAAATGAAAATAATGTACAAAAGTAAGCTTAACTCAATGAATGATTCCTCTGCCAGCTAACATGGTGAGAAAATAACAGCAGAATTGAAATAATCTTCTTTTAGTAGCTACCAACCGCTGTTTAACTATTTTATTGTGAGTGGAAGACGCTAATTTAGCGACGTTGAGTCGATAGTGAAAGGTTTGAATAAATTAAACTATCAACGCTAAATCCAATTCAACACTAAATTCTCTAAAATTCATGTTCACCTTGAACCAAAGGCGGACATAACCGTCCGGAGGAATAAACCTGCATTCAATTAAGTACATCGTTCGGAATCGTGTGCCCTTGTACTATAAGTGGTTGTCGAGTTTTAAATTTCCATTACTTTAGGGAAATCTGTTTTAATGGATAAAGCATTAAATTTGCAATATTAAAATTTACGGAGTAATCAAATTAAAATTTACCGTGTGTCCCTGTAGTTTGACCTTCTGGATTAGTCTAGGGAAATTAGATTTCAGGGTTATAATAAATAAATAAAGAAATATTTTAGGACACATTTTACACAATGTTCTCTAGTCCTAAACTAAGCAACGCTTGTACTATGGGTACTAGATAACTGATAAACATACTTAAACATACTTTTCTTTTGTAAATAAATACATATTATACATATATAAACACCCAGACACTAGAAAAACACTATGTTCGTCACACAATACTTTTCCAGTAGTGGGGATCGAACCCACACCCTCTGACGCAGGAGGCAGGTACACTACCCACTACGCCATTCGGGTGGTCAATTTCGGGTCTGTTATAATAGAAAATTATCATTGTTTATGTTAAACTTAAGGTAAAATTGCAACGTTCAATGAACTAAATTTATTGATAAATTACATTAAATAGTATCTTAACGCAGTTTTAATGATATTGTTTATTTCACTTTAAATTTACAACAAAACACCATGTTGTCCATTATTTGATTTTGGAAATGAATCCTACTGTTGTCAAGCATTTGTATTATCTATCAAAAATATACGAGCTGTAGTGTTTTTCGAGGCATTTTGGGAACACTAATAAATGAAAGGTTCGTAATACGTTTCTACTTAAGACATGGGATAATTTTAGCCTACAATATTTTTCTTATAGTAAAACGGGAAAAAGGAATTAAATATCTGATATTCATGGGGGCCAGTCCTTTTCATGAATATCTGATGTATTTCGTTATAGCCAATTCGATTATAATACTAAACGAATAAAGAATAACGTATTGAACTAATAGCGTACATTTAGATGTACCACCTGTTGTTCGTTATACCCAGGTAATCGATTCCTAAAAGAGATCGGACAAAGATAGTTTATTTTCGAGTTCGAGTCGTATTGCACTTTTGTTTCGTCTGCGTTGCGATGTTTGTTTGTTTTGCCGTAATAAAGCCCGTTTGTTATTTGTCCATTTTAATGACGTATCGTCTTCGATTTGTTTATAACGTTGTCGTGCGTCCGCTTTCGTTTCGGCTAAATTACTTTTAAATGGTGCACAACTTGTGTACAAATCATCATCGTCATTTCAGTCTGTTTTAGCTCATTGATGGACGTAGGTCTTCCCCACGGACTGCTACAAAGCACGGTCCTGAGCCATCCGCACTTATCGAATTGCCGCACATATGCTCAGGGGTGTCGCCCTACACTAATACTTATAACTCAGCATACTCGAGCAACCTAGGTTCAAATCCCGGTGCCGGTAGAGTTCGAACTCCGGTGCGGACGGCATCAATTAAATTGTTAATTGCAATATTAAGTGCTGTCTTATCACATGCTATTTTAGAAATAATAACACAATGCGCAGTGCCTAATGCCCTCCGAACAGTAGATGGCTTTGTCCAGCCGCAGGGCATATATAGGCTGTTACTTTACTTGTGAACTTTTCATTCTCATCGGTTATCAATCGGTATCTAAGAACTACATGGCCAGCCCATTATTAATTATTCGTTAAAAAACGATATTTCCATTTAAACATAACCCTATTTGTAATTAAAGATTATTCCGTTGTCTTTACTTTTTATAGATATAAGTTAGAGACACATACGGGGCAGTTCTCCGGCACCCTCTATATTATACAACTGAGTAATTTCATCAAAGAGCATTCGAAATCATATATTTTAAACAAAAAATAAAACTCTCGCGTAAAACGAGTTTGTACGAAAGGTAATAGCTAATGTTTTTGATGTAGAAAAGTGGAAAAGTAACAGTCTATACATATCCCAGTGCTAGGTCTCCTCTGTACAGAATGTATTAGTGAATAGTCCACCACGTGGTCCCTCAGCGGATTGGCGGACTTTATTACATTATTTCGAAAATATGCAGGTTTCCTCGCGATGTTTTCCTTCGCCTCTGAGCATTTGATAAGTCAGCACTTAAAATTAACAATGAATTCATGTTGCTCGAGTATAATGCTCGAAAGCGAGCACCCGGACACTGAGTTATCAAGGCTCTATTTAGAAAAGTGTTATGCCTCCTTAATGTGAATGTTAGGAACTTGCACTCTGTGTCTCTTTCTAATACGCACTGGTTGACTGAACAACCTGGAGTGAAATTTAAAATTAAATTAAATGGTTGTCAATTGAAATTATTTTTTTTAATGTTTGAAGGTGGCAAGTAGCAGGCAGTTCACTTCTTTTTTGCCTCCAACTCAACTGGTCGTGGCCGATTTTGAAACACACTGTGCACATATATCAAAAGACTGATTATCCCTGATTAGAAATCTGATAAAAGGAGAAAATATTGCTGATGATTAACTCGATGAGTCAAGTCTCAGCTTTTGTTATCAACTTAAAAGTATTATTATAACTTTTAATTTGATAACAAAAGCTGAGACTGAAAGCTTTCAACGTCTCTATAGTTATTCTGAAATGGATGTTCGTTCCTTAAAACAGTATCGAAAGATGCAATTCGCTTCTTAATCATATTTATGGCGCATTGAGATTTGCGGTGAGGGATTGGGAAACGTCAACTGTTATGAAAATATACGAGGGATTCATTCAAAGTATCGACGAAATGATTTCCCACAGGAACCGTATGTATATGTCAAACCTAGCAAGTATATGAAAACAAAGAAACTTTGCCGATATTTCTTTTAAAGAAAAATGTAACACGGCCTATAAATATATGATGACTCATAGATAGACTCTCCCTTATTTTATTTCGTATTCAACTGATTCTTCTATCTCTAAAAACAAAGCCATTTATCACGAAGCCTATTTTAAAGCACATTTGCATTTCCCTGATTTAATATTTCTGTATAATTTTTTTTTATATTTCTGCTTTTTGGGATTATTAGCATGTTTCTTGTATTAATTGGTTGCATGGAATAACATGATAATCGTTTCGGTCTTGTACCCAATGCACAGTGACAAGCTTTACTAATTAATACCTTTTATATTCACTTTGCTAAACATATCAATTGCCATTTGTAGAAAAAGTACGAAAAGATTCTTTTCGTACTTTTTCTACATATTTTAATTTTCAAATCTTAAATGCAAAGATTAGCACTATAAACAATTTAGATATATATGTTTTCAGATTTGCTAAAACTCTTGTAATTAAAGGAGACCATTATTTTAAAGATACATTTCGAAAACTTAACAGCGTTTGTGGTCGCGGGGCAGTCCTTTCATTTAACCATCTGTAGATTCCCGCAAGTGCAAGAAATCATTGGTAACAGTATGTATTATCTCTGCCTTAAATTCACGTGTCGCTTTCGTAAGGTCCTTACCTTGACCTTGATGCCGGATGCCAGGAGCAACTTGATAAGCTCTATGTTCTCGTTTTCAATTGCCGCTATCAACGCTGACCGGTTTAGGGGGTCAACGCAGTTGATGTCCAGGACCTCCGGCGCGGACGCATACTGGTCTATCAACCTGTGGAAAAGCTGTATCACTCAATGAATATAATAAGGAACTCTCGTAGACATTGTCGTAACTCCACTACGGCGTAGCGGTTACAAAGCTCAGTCACTGAGACGTCGTAGCGGAAGCCTATTCTAGGAAACAAAACATACCTTATTAATGTAGTTCTTAGAATATATTATACATAGTCGTAGTGTAAATATAAAAATCAGTGGTATGCTGTAAATTATTTTCGATATTTAACTCCATTATTCTTGTTGAAGTGTAATTGCCAGAGGTTATATTGGTATGATGTTTGTTGAACTCTGTTTTGCTGTTCTAATTATTTCGGACGATTTTAACAGCAAATGTCTAAATGATTGTCGTTATATATAACTATATAGCTAAGGTTATACTTAAACAATTAATGTAATTACTAGTTCGAGCACTTATCAAGATAATATCCATCGCTGTTGACAATGTATTGACAGTTACCCGAAGGTAATAGATAGTATTTTAAAAGCCTATTTGCGCACATCTCGAGGTCAATGTTACAATTATCCGTATAGTTTTGTTTTCTAGCCGAAAATTTCAACACTGAAGATTTTTATAAAAGACATTGAAGAACATCAAAAAAGTGTTATAAATACGGCTAAGTATAACAAGTGGTAAAGTATCGTCACTTTTAGAAATAAAATTAATTAGTAATAATAATATGTTTATTTGTGAAATACAGTCACCAGTAAGTTACTCGTATAGCGCACCAATCTTTCGCTTTAAAGTTTTACGTCATATTTGATAGGGCGCCACTATACAATAGATAAAGAATAAAAACATGTATATCACTGGCTGTTAGAAAAATAAAAAGAAAAAAAAAGAAAACACGCCCGAGCAATGTAACTAGGGCACAGTCAGTGTGATAACGCACCGATGTGTTCAAATAAACAGGATTAAAGTGGACCTTGTAGTGATTCCCGATCAACTCTGCTTACCGGCAAACGCCGAAATAGCTTTAGAGTACACAACGATACGATTCTTATCCGGCTTTAGGGGTTGCGTAGTCCTAGATTCCGAGGGACGTACGCAATGTTTTGACGCGTGTAATCTCCAACTACGTCTTTGAATCCGTCATCATGTGAAGTCTGTTTACGTCTGTTTGTCGATTCTTTAGCTAGTATATTTGAACCTTTAGTAAGGTCAACGAATAGACTTGAAAATCGTTTCTTTTATCAAACTCGGGTTCCTCACTTTACATCAGTCTGGAAGTTAATCAATTATTATTATTTATTTTTGGATACAAGCAGTGATCACTAAATAATGTAAAAAAAGTGTTTTGAACCGTCATGCGGTGCTTCTATTATTTCTATTGTAATGTGATTCAACTTTAAATGTTCATCTCAATTAAAACCGCTCTCCTGGCAACTGATTTTGAAAGCATTTTCTTTCCTGTTATCTGAAGGAAAGTTATCTGAAGATGTCTCCATATCTTAAACAAATCAACGACATGCAAAAAAGCAATAAACAAGATTTATCTCCTTATAAAATAAGTAATAAACAACTGCACCTTTGTCGATAAAGATTTTGTGTATTTTTTATTTACATAATATTCCATAACATTCTAGTCACAACGACCCGACAAGAAGATAAGAAACACAAAAGTGTTCTGATGTCGGATACTGATATTATGGCTGAGTTATTTCGAGTAATGGTAAACTTCAGGTCACCTTCGCCGTAAAAAAAAAATCTTTGTTTAAAGATAACAGAAACTTCTCTGATTAACAAGTACAAGTCGAATTTTTCATTCATCCATTTCAATAGTTTAGTTATCAGAGTTGAGGAAATTGAGGGTTAAGGAGGGAAATTGAGGGAACTTAAGACGAAATAACTATCCTTAAACATTGTCAACAACAGAGTTGGCGTTCGGGGAGATATCAAATATTTAAAAATACAGGTGTTAAACTCTAACTTTTGCATCACACAGTAATTTGGTAAAGAATGGACAGATACTAAGTCCGACAAGATTTGTGCAAAAGGTAAGTAAATATATAATGAGAAGTAGCTACGTGCTGTTGCATGCACGTGCATACGCATTGACTATTTAAAGACTGGGAGATCCGCATTAGTAACGACGGATATAAGGCTTCAATTGCACAAGAAACCAGTGTAAGCCTGATCTTACACTTTTGCTTCGAGTATAAGGAACCGAAGACTTGTGAAGTGTGATCATTCTTCATGAAGAATAGTTGAAGATGATCACTCTTTACTCGGCTGCGTAATGCAACATAAACAAATACATACACCGATAAACGCATTACCCCCGTAAAGCGTTTATTTTGCTTTGCGGCCCTCTACATACCAAACGCGTGCACCGATTTTAATACTTGTTCCTACGCCTATCAGATTGTCTTTTTTATGTGAGAAGATGGCAAAAGCAGAAGTAACACTTTAACTTCATGCCGGTCTTCCATGATGACAGATAAGACTGTTGCGTGGCCCTACTAGGTTAAAATATTAACATGGAAGAAAACTCTTTATGGTGACAACTAGATGCCATGTTGTTAATAAGTCAACTGGTTAGAAAAAAATTTCCATTCAAGGCCTTGTCAAAATTTGCGTTAAAACACTGTCAGGTTTTTCGGAGCAACCTATAACGGATTAATAATAATTAAGAAATATATTAACGTTAATAATGACAAGTATAGCGGAAGAATATCCTTGTTAAGAGCTCAGGAGCTAGCAATACATGCAGCACGAATTACCACGTACGAGGAACTACCAGAAATTCCTAAGAGGTCGACAATGCATTTGTAAGCCCTCTGGTGCTGCAGGTGTCCATGGGTGGCGGTGATCTCTTACCATCAGGTGAGCCGCCTGCTCGTTTTCCTCTTTTTCTCCATTAATAAAAAGAAAACGTTCACGATCTGATTGAAGACTAGCATGAAGCACAAGTATCTCTAGTAAGTAGAGTAATCCGAAGGAAATTGTATCCGTGGGTGATAAATAAAAAATTCACATTGCATGTCAGCTTTGATCTCTATACGAGACGAATGCTTTTGTGTAAATATTACGGCCGAAATTGGGTGTAACTTGTCTCATAATAACTTTGAATCCATATCTTTAGTTTTGCCACAATGACGCATACTATATATGGGCTAGTTTTGGGGTTGTTGTACGCGGAACGTTTAAGATTGTTTTAAGAAATGGAGTGAGTGAGAGAGGGAGAGAAAGAATGGGATCTGAAAGAGATTAATCGTTATTGATTTGACCAATATTATTTCAAAAAAGAATGTCGAAATTTAGTCCATCAACAAGCGACTTATTGGGATTGGACGAACAGGAAATACGTACTTTTTAACAGTAGCGTAGTCTCCTCGGTCTGCGTTTAGTAGAAATGACTTCTCTTCTCGGGTCAGCGGCTTCTCGTAGACCTGGCGTAAATCGTGCTGGCTGTTCCTGAGGGCTTCCTGGGAGCTCCCCAGGAGCTCCTCCCTGGATCCCCGATTCATTCTTGCCTGAAACAAAAATACAAGTACATTTGAGATTATTACTAATATATACATAATAAGTAATTTGTACGTCTATTAATAGTCATATTTTGACTCGACCAATTGTACTCATTTTCAGACATTCGTTTCATAGAGACGATGGTTCATATCCATGCTTAGTATAATATACCAGGAAGGTCAGATAGACTGATTGGTAAAGTACCAATATTAAATATGATATGTGTTTCACCTGAGTCAATAAATATGACTAAGATGAAAGTCATATAGCGAAAGCTACTAAAACTAAAAATTTAATTAAAGTTATGCTTAAGTGTGAGTGTGATAATTCAATAACACATAATCTAATACCTTTAAACGAGCAATAATTAATAAATTAAATAATCAAAATCCATAATTAAAAAAAAATATTTTTCAAACAAATTAATTAAGTAAAAAAGACACAAAATTTGTAACATCCTATACAACTCGCGCCACAGCGTCGTATTACAAGCCTCTCCTTCTAACAGTATGTTTAGTCTCTTTTAAATTCATTCAACCCATTCAAATGCTTTGTGACCTTTACAAATGAACTTTACGTTACGCTTTTATAGGTAAGGGTTTTCTAAAATTCTTTGTTTTGGAAAATTTAATAACCCTGTAAATATTGATGTTTAAAGAATTTAAATGTTTAATACAACCTTAAAAAGTTATCCCCTATATGTGTATTCATTTATTGTCGCGAAAAAAATATGTTATAATAGCTCGGTCGGTAATCGGGCGGCCCGGAAACAGAAGGCCGCGGTTCTTGTCACGATCATTTACACACTTATGTTTTTTTACTTTTTTTTCTATACAAGATCATTGCTTTCTTTATTTTTTAGTTTTTTTATTTCCAAAATACACGATTTACCAAAAAAAAAAACCGGTCCTCCAGGTACTATTATTGTAAGCAGTTAAGTGTTATTTTACCGAACGAGCTTCTTTCTCGTTACCTTAATCCCTTACTTTCATAGTGACTTGTTTCAATTATATTCGATAATATGTTACTTGTTTTATTTCTCTTCAATATTTATGAACCCTCGTTCTCATGTTTATTATCACTCTCTTATTATTCTATCTCATATTGTGGTTTTAAGGTTGCGGATGTTGCAAACCTGTGTATCTGAGATTACTTGATGTTAAATAGCGATACCGACCGTAGTATATAACACCCAAAATGAAGTCAAAATTACTAGATACGAATTTATATACAGATATCCAAACTTTTAAACTTAATTTTCTATATCTCTAATCATCATCTCACTCATGTGTATTACTTGTTTGCGTCGTATACTTTTTTACTTAGAATTAGTAAGTTAATGCTTCAAACAGACACAGTTGTAAAAGGGTAATTCGTTTATGAACTCTGCATACGTGTTTTCTTAAAAGTAAGTTGTCCAGGTGGGAAACTTAACTTACTTTTAAGTTAGCTGCGAAACTTAACATAGGTTTTTTAAAAAACTTAGCTTAAGTAATCTATGTTAAGTAAGCTAACGCTAATCCTTTAACTTAAAACCTATTTCTTTTCGATAGATGAAATTACAAAATCGATAGATGAAATTTAATGTATTGATTATTTTATGAATTAAGTAGTCTTCACAATTTATTGTAGTTAAGGCTGTGAAATTGAGATGAGGCCAGTTCTTAGACAACATACTATGCTTTAAATAATATACCAAATGAGAGGTATTTTTCACAAAGTAACTAAAATAAGATAATAGTAGTTAAATAATTAATAAAGTATTTTTTAATATAGCTGGTTAGTTTATTGGTATGATAAGACGTTTTATCTTCGAACTGATTTAATTTACAAACTTTAATAAAAACATAATATTTTATAGATCTAACAATCACTATTTTTTATTTTAAAAATTATTAAAGCGTGGCACTACCACAAAAAAACAATATATATAACACTAAAAATAATATATATTTATTCCATAATTATTGGTCGGTGTTGTAGGTGACGCAGCAGCCTCGGCTGTTGAACGAATGGGCAGGCTCGCCCGGGTAAGTACCACGACCTCGCAGAAGACCTGCGTAAAGTGGAAGTATAATACTTTCGCGTTTCGTCTAGTGTGTGAGGTAGCCGGAGCCCAATTTCCAAAAAGGTTGTCAACGCATCTGCTAAACCTCGGGTGTAGCAGATGTCCATGGGTAGCGGTATTCACTTAACATCAGGTGAACCGTCTGCTCGTTTGGCAACTTTTCACATAAAAAAAACTACTATATTACTGTTCATTACGCCGCTTCCTTTATTTATTGGAAAAACTTGATTCCCCTGATTTTCAACTGTAATATCAATGATTTATTTAAATAAATTAGTTGCAATTATTTATAAAGCTAAGCTGTCGATAACACGAACCAATTCAATGAGACTATGCGTTCACTGAGAAACAATTAATTGGACGAAACTGTTTGTTTCGAGTTGAGCAATTTTTGTTGAACTGCAAAGTCATTCCTTGAAGCGTTTGAATTTTTTAACGTCCGTTTTTTTCCGCTTGTTTTTTATACTTTGAAGCTGCTGAAAATAGAGCTAGCAAGGAGGCTGGTTAAAGAAGAGAGTCCAGTGAAAACGAAACCGAAGTAAAGGATGTATTGATGAAAAATATATACAAAAATATAGTGCGTAGACGCAAAAGAAGAAAGAAAGAGATTTATTTCAAACAAAACAGATTGAAAAAAAAAAAAAACATGGACATAAAACTCCAATATGTACATTTTCTCTTTTGGTTATAGTACGTCATGATTCATGCCAAAAAGGACATCAGTCAGAAGAATGTTGCAGTGAAACTGCAACGCTGATTTTCAGTTATTATCATAGCAGCTGGGATGGCCAAATTACCCGATGCATACTTGTAAATTTGTAATAGTATTTGTTTAAAAATAATATTTTAAGACACATTCTTTTTACACAACGTTCTCTAGTCCCAAACTAAGCAATGCTTGTACTATGTGTACTAGAAAACTGATAGACATACTTAAACATACTTTTCTTTTGTAAATAAATACACATTATACATATATATAAACACCCAGACACTAGAAAAACACTATGCTCATCACACAATATTTTTCCAGTGGTGGGGATCGAACCCACACCCTCTGGCGCAGAAGGCAGGTACACTTCCGACTACGCCATTTGGGTCGTCAATGTGTGCACTCATGAACTATTAACTGTGTCAGAGCCACACACCAGTCTTCGCCTGTGGCAAGAATGGGCAGGTTCGTATGGGGGAGTAGTACGATCTCACAGTAGACCGTCGTGAAATGGAAGTGTTATACTTCTGTGTTTCGTCCGGTTAGTAAAGTAACCGGAGCCCACTTTATGAAAAGGTGGCAACGCATCTGCAACACTGCGGGTGTTGCCAATGTCCATGGGCGGCGGTCATCACTTAACATTAGATAAACCGTCAGCTTAATTGCCACCTTATTATAAAACAAAAAATATTTTGATATATTTTTGAGGTTGTGATAGTTTGTGAGGCCGTAATATTTCTCCGGGCGTGCCTGCCCATTTCTGCTAGTGATACTGTTGCATGGCGCTACCTTAGTACAAAACATATCTTTTGTCGCCAATTTTTTTGCAATTAGTCATATACTAATACCAGTTCTAGATTGGTGTGCAGGTTAGCCAATTTATAAGAGAGAGAGTAAATAATTAAAAAAAGCCTCTTATTTTTTACGTGCCTGTCTGTGAGAAAATATATAATTATATGAATGACAAAATGAATGTAAACAGCGAAGCGCGAACTATAGATGTTACGGCTCTAACACTGAAAAATCCTTATCCAAAATACTGCTAAGTCCTTTTCGACATACTCCTGATTCCTTTGCCAATGTACAGAATAAGAACAAGAAGCTATAAACCATAAATTTTATGGGTTGTTCATCATATACGAGTATAATAAGAATTTCAGTCGTGTACAACAAAAGTGCTCAAAATAACCGATTCTATAATAAGTCTCCCCAGCCTTCAGACTTAAGTACATGCGCAATGTGAAGCCAAAGGCTAACGGGGGCGACCTCATCGATTACAGAGATTAACTTTTCCATTCGCGTAAGTGGTCTTACCTCACTTTTCTGTTTGGATAATGAATAGGAGTGAGGAATACGTCCCCCCAAATCTCACGCCGAAAGCCTTTGTATAGAACTGTCCGGACACAATTCAAATTTGAGTGGTTTGAATTTTAAAATTTTCAAAGTATCAACTTCCATGTTGTGGAAAGCAAGCAAAGATGATCTTTTTAATCTAAGAATGCTTTATTCCAAATATTTGTCCACCGGAATTATTCTGAATTTTTAAACTATTAAACCTACATAAAACTTAAATTCATGCATTGTTGTGTATTATTAAGTTTATAAAACATTAAAGGAGCTACACAAACTGTACCTGATTTATTTCTTTCATTTTTAATTTTAATTTTTAAAAGAATGAGCGGTGGGTGCAATGTAACTGACAAAACTTAGTTTTCAGTTGAAATCCTGCACATCACAAACATTTTTATAATCGATAAATCTACTTCGTGTTCTTGATTTTATGTGTGTACAGACAAAACTTCGCGGTAAAGATGTTCTCAAGCGTGGAAGGTTATTTTGTAAGAAAAAGGAGATCTTTATTTGACTTTTTGTTGACTAGTGTTTACCTCTTTTCTTGTACTATATTATTAGTGGTAGCTATGGTCATATTGTGTTGTTAGTTTCCTTTTACAAATAAATAAACGAAAACATAATGAATATATCTTTAAAGCTTGATAAACAAAAATTAAAACTTTGAAATGAAATAATAAGTAATTAAAACGATATTAAAAATCCGATTAAAATTTTTCTTTCGTAAGAAAATTTGGAAGATATAGCAAAATAGATTAAAAAACAAAAATAATTATTACTAAAAAAGCTTACAAATTAGTAAATATGTAAGACAACTTATAATTTTCTACAAGCGATATATACTGAATACATTAAGTAGTTGACAGTCATTG